CAAAGCAAGCAATCGAAGAAAACCTTTTTGCTCAGGGTCACCAGAAATTCCGGAACCGAGGAGACAGACGCAAGATTGCAACCGAGTGCAGAAAATTTCAGACTCGGTGGAAAAGTGATAAAAAAAATTCATAGAAACCAAGGGGAAGTGTGTTTGTTTGATTTGTAATGAGAGTGTTGCCGTGATGAAAGAGTACAATGTACGACGGCATTATTAAACGAAACATCAGACGTTCACGTCCTACACTGGCACCGAGTGGATAGAGAAGGCAAAGCAAATGTCAGCTAGCCTGCTAACGCAGCAGCTGTTTTTTTTCCGTGCTAACAAAGCTCAAGAAAATGCAACAATAGCCAGTTATGAAGTAGCTCAACTCATTGCCCTACATGGGAAACCTTTCTCAGGCGGTGACTTCATGAAACAGTGCCTCGCTAAAGTCGTGGGAATAATGTGCCCGGAGAAAATGCAGGATTTCAACGATGTTAGTATGTCCAGAAATACGGTTCTGCGGCGAATTGAAGACTTGTCGGCTAACTTAAAACATCATCATCCAGCTCAGAATTCCTCTCTTATCAAGACGCTCATACATCGGGCCAAAACAGTGTCAGATGGTGAAAGTCTAGTGAGAGAGATCAAACACCTTAAAGAAGCATATTATGGATCCTTGCAGTCACGAAAGCTTCAAATCTAGAATACTCAAATTAACAGAGCACTGAATGCCAAAATCACGATCGCAAAGCAACACTGCTGAAAGCGATCAGATTGTTAAAATAATTAAAATTCCATATATCTCAGGAGTAACTGACAAATTAGCCCGTGTTTTGCAAAAGCAAAACATTACAGTAAGATTTGGTACAGTACAGAAAATTCAAAAACTAGTATCTTGCACGAAAGACGAATTACCAAAATTATCAACAGAAGGTGTATATCGGATTAATTGTTTATGTGGCAGATGCTACATTGGACAGACGGGACGTAACATCAGCAGAAGACTAAAAGAACACCAAAGAAATATTAAATTATCTCAAACACAACTGTCGGCAGTGGCAGAACATGCTTGTCAACAAGGACAGGCAATTGATTTTGATAACGTTGAAGTGTTGTGTAAAACTAATTATTACTGGCAAAGACTAATTATAGAATCCATTGAAATTGAGAGAAACAGAAATAACTTTAATCGTTCTGATGGCTGTAGGCTTAGTGCGGCTTGGAAGCGTATTATTAAATAATACATATTACAATTCCTTATAGGGGAAACACACACTAATTAACGGATTACTAATGTAGCATATAATCACAATAACACACATTATAACTAATTACTAATCTACAACTCATTACTAATCATAACCATTGACTGATTACCAATCGATTATATAATTACTGCACCTGAAATGAGTTAAATGATGACGTCACCCTGCTGCTCTATTTAAGACCGGGAGCAAGCGAGGGCTTTACCATTCTGGCGAATTGCCCAATGATGCTGGGTGTAATTACCGGCGAAACGACGTATTCAAACTGTAAATCATCTTCTTTGGTTCTTTCGGTAAAGTCACGTAGAATGAGAATAAAATAATAAAATAAAAATAAGACAATAAAATTCTCACGACGTTTCTCATTCTACGTGACTTTACCGAAAGAACCAAAGAAGATGATTCCCTGCAGTCACGAAAGCTTTAAATCGAAATCAAACTGTAAATGTTGTGGATTCACTCTTCAACACACCGGTGGGCTAACGTAGTGAACTAATTGTCTTTTGTCAACCTGACACTTTTTTGCTGATTGGCTGTGTTGGGTGGTGGAGGGTTATGACACATTTATAAATAACGTGATCTAACCCAAAAACCTTTATTATGAATAATATTGGTCGCGAAAGCCTACGTGTTAAACTAACTTAAAACAGCAAGTGTCAGATAAAGCTTGTGCCTTCGATTTTTACTCGATTGCATGTGATGAGAGCACAGAAGCCACGGACACTGCACAGCTGTTCATTTTTTTGCGGGGAGTTGATGATAATTTTTGCATTACGGAGGAACTGCTCGATCTTCGGAGTCTAAAGGGGACAACAACTGGGAAGGACATGTTTGAAGCTGTGTCAGATGCAATTGACCAGGCTGGACTTAAATGGGACAAGCTGTGTGGAATTACAACGGATGAGGCTCCAGCAATGACAGGCGAGCGCAAAGGAATGGCCTCTACGGTGAGTGCCAAGGTGCGGGAGAGCGGAGGTGAGGCTGTCAAAATGCACTGTATCATCCACCAAGAAGCCCTCTGTGCCAAGGTAATCCAGCTTGGCGATGTGATGAACACAGTTGTGAAAACTGTCAACATAATTCGGGCACGAGGGCTTTTTTACCACAGAGAATTTCAAGCGTTCCTCTCTGATGTCGATGCTGAATACGGGGACCTACTCTACCATTCTGAAGTGCGCTGGCTCAGTCGCGGCTCCGTGCTGCAGCGGTTTTATTCCCTGAGATCAAATATCGCCAAGTTTTTGAAAGAAAAGGGCAGACCTCTCCATGAGATCAGTGACCCTTTATGGTTGGCAAACCCGGCTTTTTTAGTTGATCTCACTGATCATCTCAACACCCTGAACAAGAGACTACAAGGCAAAGAGCAGCTGGTCCCACAGCTGTATGCGCACATGAAATCATTCCGTGCGAAGCTCCGTCTCTTCGAGTCACAACTGCGCAACTTCAATGTAGAGCACTTCCCCATGCTGACCCAAATCAAATGCGCATTTCCAAATGCCAAGCTCTCTGCAAAAATGGGAGAATATGTGTCTGTGATCACATCTCTCATGACAGAATTCAGTCAGCGCTTCCAAGATTTTTCTGTCATTGAGAAGGAAATCACACTGTTTGCGGCTCCGCTTTCAATGGATGCAGAATAAGTGGAGGAGAGTCTGCAATTAGAACTGATCGAAATTCAGTGTGATGATTCTCTGAAGAATCAGCATCAGCTTCTCTCCCTACCTGACTTTTACCGGAGCTTGGAAAAGGCCAAGTTTCCTCTGATGAGACGCCATGCAAAACGAATGATGAGTCTGTTCGGCTCAACATACATCTGTGAGCAGACATTCTCTCTGTTAACGCTGAACAAAAGCAGACTGAGAACCAGAACGACCGACAGCCATCTCCGTGACGTCCTTCGCATCTCAACCACCAAACTTACTCCTGACCTGCCAGCTATCCTTCAGACCAAAGCGCAGCATCACTCCTCCCACTGAGCGCAACATTATTCCCATTACAGGTGAGTTAAAAATATACACACAGTTTTCATTTGTTAATAAGCCCAATTACTTAATAAATTCAGTCGTTTAAAGTTGATGACAATTTTTTAACAAACGTTAGTTGAATGTGTTAACAAACCCAATAATTTATTTGTGTAATAAGCTTGAAATATCCACATCCCCTATTTATCTTGTCTCTCCCTTCATACAGGACAATGAAGGGCGATCAGCACCCTAAGAACCAATCTGAGGCTGTCACTGAGAGAATGACCTGCCAACCTTCTTGTAAAAAATAAAATGAAAATCTACTAATGGAGAGCTATGATGGAGGCTTTTTTTTCTTCAAACACGTTCAATTATCAAACGTAATTTACCTGCATTTGATTGATTTTGCCAATATTAGTGCATGAGAAGTGAGGCAGTATACCTCACGTCTAGTGAGTGGCCCAGTCCTTCGTATATTTTTCTGTATGTGGCTCTCGGGAAAAAAAGTTTGGACACCCCTGGCCTACACCATAAACAACCTTCTTCATGGCCGAGTCTAACCACCAGTGTCAGACCAGAGAATTTCCAAAAGGCGAACGGTAAAAAGGCAATGCAGATGAAAACAAATACATGTACTGCTAAATTACTATCCAGCAGTGGATTGCAAACCTGTCAAACCCTTATCAGTGCCCTAACTTATTACAAACCAATTCAGACCCTTATTGGTCACCCCGTGCCCCTTATAAATCTCAACGTTCATCCTACAAAGTCCCATCACAAGGGAGAAACACAAACAAATAGACAATGGGGTTTTTTGCCCGTATTGAAACGTCTGTACGCCGTATGGACCTTAAAAAACTCAATCTACCTGCACAAGAATACGGGGTAAAGCGTATGGGTTGACAGGTTATGAGATTGACAAATGGAATGTCTAATGTGTCTGACAATACTGTAATTAATATATTAATGCGTCCTCTAGTGGCTCGGCACAGGAAGGGGGGTGGGGTGGCCAGCACCACGCCCGGCCGCCTTTGTCTCCCCAGTAGCGATGTTTACACACCGCACCAGGTACCCATTTGAGGCTGAGTCGACCTAGGGGAGTCCCAGGACCGGTTCAGATAATCGTCACTGGTGTTGGCCGTGAGCGGAAATCGAACCCGGGTCGCCAGGTTCGTAGCGCAGCGTAGCGCTAACCGCTGCACCACCGCTCCCCTCCAATACCAACGCAGCCGCCATTCGCCACTAAGTGCCAGGCTAGGTGCACTTTGAGGCCACGTGAAGCGTCTTCAAAGTGCACCTAGCCTGGCACGCACACACACAACACACCGCACGGCGCTTGCTGTGGAAGTTAATCGGCTCGCAGTGGTTGCTTGAACGGCACGAGTGACGATAACTGGGCCCGGTTTCGGCATGTCAGTGGCTCATCAGCAGCGACTGGGGTCAGCCACGCTGCAAGGCCGGAACAATGCTGGGGTGGGAATTGTTTTTTCTGTTTCCCATTGTTCTGACTTCGATTAGATCGACACACAGATAATCGATTCCTCCCCCACACACCCCCCGCACCGTGCAACTCATTGTGCGTTGCATTGCCCGCTAGGACGATTACAAGAAATCGATTCCTGTGTGTGTGCTTTATAAATAATCGATTCCTCCCCCCACAGTGCAACTAATTGAGCGTTGCATTGCCCGCTATGAAGATAACAAGGAATCGATTCCCTGTGTGTACATTATAAATAATCGATTCCTCTTCCCCCCGCACCGTGATGACTATGACAAGGAATCGATTCCTTGTGTGCGTGATCTATAAATAATCGATTCCACCCCCCTAGCCAGCGTTGCATCCACCACGCCTCAGCGGGTTGTTGTTGCTTCTTGTTGTTGTTTCTTGTTGTTGTTTCTTGTTGTTGTTGCGTGCAAGGAGCTGTAGCGTGATAGTGCCGCAACGTCCGCTCGGCGTTTACCCCGACCACTGACGGTCTCTTCACACGTTGAGGCGGACAAGTCGAGGAGGAGACTCGGTCGGCGACTTAGCGACGAGGTGATTGTTGACCCCCAGGTTGCAAGCAACTCGAGGTGACGGCTGCTGTTGTTGTTGTTGCTTCTCCCTCACCCCCGATAGCCTTAAGTTTCTCCAAGCCATCATCATCGTCGTAGTTGGCGACGCTGAACGTCAAGTTCCGCTTGCAACGTTGACGAACGCCGTCTCGTCCGTGTCATTGTTGTTGTTGTTGTTCCACGAAGCTCTTGGTGGTTGTTGTTGTTGTTCCACGAAGCTCTTGGTGGTTGTTGTTCCACGAAGCTCTTGGTTGTTATTGTTGTTGTTCCACGAAGCTCTTGGTTGTTGTTGTTGTTCCACGAAGCTCTTGGTTGTTGTTGTTGTTGTTCCACGAAGCTCTTGGTGGTTGTTGTTCCACGAAGCTCTTGGTGGTTGTTGTTGTTCCACGAAGCTCTTGGTTGTTGTTGTTGTTCCACGAAGCTCTTGGTGGTTGTTGTTGTTCCACGAAGCTCTTGGTGGTTGTTGTTGTTGTTCCACGAAGCTCTTGGTGGTTGTTGTTGTTCCACGAAGCTCTTGGTTGTTGTTGTTCCACGAAGCTCTTGGTTGTTGTTGTTCCACGAAGCACTTGGTGGTTGTTGTTGTTCCACGAAGCTCTTGGTGGTTGTTGTTGTTGTTCCACGAAGCTCCTGGTTGTTGTTGTTCCACGAAGCTCTTGGTGGTTGTTGTTGTTCCACGAAGCTCTTGGTTGTTGTTCCACGAAGCTCTTGGTTGTTGTTGTTGTTCCACGAAGCTCTTGGTTGTTGTTGTTCCACGAAGCTCTTGGTGGTTGTTGTTGTTGTTCCACGAAGCTCTTGGTGGTTGTTGTTGTTGTTGTTCCACGAAGCTCTTGGTTGTTGTTGTTCCACGAAGCTCTTGGTTGTTGTTGTTGTTCCACGAAGCTCTTGGTTGTTGTTCCACGAAGCTCTTGGTTGTTGTTGTTGTTCCACGAAGCTCTTGGTTGTTGTTGTTGTTCCACGAAGCTCTTGGTTGTTGTTGTTCCACGAAGCTCTTGGTTGTTGTTGTTCCACGAAGCTCTTGGTGGTTGTTGTTGTTCCACGAAGCTCTTGGTGGTTGTTGTTGTTCCACGAAGCTCCTGGTTGTTGTTCCACGAAGCTCCTGGTTGTTGTTGTTCCACGAAGCTCTTGGTGGTTGTTGTTGTTCCACGAAGCTCTTGGTTGTTGTTCCACGAAGCTCTTGGTTGTTGTTGTTGTTCCACGAAGCTCTTGGTTGTTGTTGTTGTTCCACGAAGCTCTTGGTTGTTGTTGTTGTTCCACGAAGCTCTTGGTTGTTGTTGTTCCACGAAGCTCTTGGTGGTTGTTGTTGTTCCACGAAGCTCTTGGTGGTTGTTGTTGTTGTTCCACGAAGTTCCTGGTTGTTGTTGTTCCACGAAGCTCTTGGTGGTTGTTGTTGTTGTTCCACGAAGCTCTTGGTTGTTGTTGTTCCACGAAGCTCTTGGTTGTTGTTGTTGTTGTTCCACGAAGCTCTTGGTGGTTGTTGTTGTTGTTCCACGAAGCTCTTGGTTGTTGTTGTTGTTGTTCCACGAAGCTCTTGGTTGTTGTTGTTCCACGAAGCTCTTGGTTGTTGTTGTTCCACGAAGCTCTTGGTTGTTGTTGTTGTTCCACGAAGCTCTTGGTTGTTGTTGTTGTTCCACGAAGCTCTTGGTTGTTGTTCCACGAAGCTCTTGGTTGTTGTTCCACGAAGCTCTTGGTTGTTGTTGTTCCACGAAGCTCTTGGTTGTTGTTGTTCCACGAAGCTCTTGGTTGTTGTTGTTCCACGAAGCTCTTGGTTGTTGTTGTTCCACGAAGCTCTTGGTGGTTGTTGTTGTTCCACGAAGCTCTTGGTGGTTGTTGTTGTTCCACGAAGCTCCTGGTTGTTGTTCCACGAAGCTCCTGGTTGTTGTTGTTCCACGAAGCTCTTGGTGGTTGTTGTTGTTCCACGAAGCTCTTGGTTGTTGTTCCACGAAGCTCTTGGTTGTTGTTGTTGTTGTTCCACGAAGCTCTTGGTGGTTGTTGTTGTTGTTCCACGAAGTTCCTGGTTGTTGTTGTTCCACGAAGCTCTTGGTGGTTGTTGTTGTTGTTCCACGAAGCTCTTGGTTGTTGTTGTTGTTGTTCCACGAAGCTCTTGGTTGTTGTTGTTGTTGTTGTTCCACGAAGCTCTTGGTTGTTGTTGTTGTTGTTCCACGAAGCTCTTGGTGGTTGTTGTTGTTGTTCCACGAAGCTCTTGGTTGTTGTTGTTGTTGTTCCACGAAGCTCTTGGTTGTTGTTGTTGTTGTTGTTCCACGAAGCTCTTGGTTGTTGTTGTTCCACGAAGCTCTTGGTTGTTGTTGTTGTTCCACGAAGCTCTTGGTTGTTGTTGTTGTTCCACGAAGCTCTTGGTTGTTGTTGTTCCACGAAGCTCTTGGTTGTTGTTGTTGTTCCACGAAGCTCTTGGTTGTTGTTGTTGTTCCACGAAGCTCTTGGTTGTTGTTGTTCCACGAAGCTCTTGGTTGTTGTTCCACGAAGCTCTTGGTTGTTGTTGTTCCACGAAGCTCTTGGTTGTTGTTGTTCCACGAAGCTCTTGGTTGTTGTTGTTGTTCCACGAAGCTCTTGGTTGTTGTTGTTGTTCCACGAAGCTCTTGGTGGTTGTTGTTGTTGTTCCACGAAGCTCTTGGTGGTTGTTGTTGTTGTTCCACGAAGCTCTTGGTGGTTGTTGTTGTTGTTCCACGAAGCTCTTGGTGGTTGTTGTTGTTGTTCCACGAAGCTCTTGGTGGTTGTTGTTGTTGTTCCACGAAGCTCTTGGTGGTTGTTGTTGTTGTTCCACGAAGCTCTTGGTTGTTGTTGTTGTTCCACGAAGCTCTTGGTTGTTGTTGTTGTTCCACGAAGCTCTTGGTTGTTGTTGTTGTTCCACGAAGCTCTTGGTTGTTGTTGTTCCACGAAGCTCTTGGTTGTTGTTGTTCCACGAAGCTCTTGGTTGTTGTTGTTGTTCCACGAAGCTCTTGGTTGTTGTTGTTGTTCCACGAAGCTCTTGGTTGTTGTTGTTGTTCCACGAAGCTCTTGTTGTTGTTGTTCCACGAAGCTCTTGTTGTTGTTGTTCCACGACGCTCTTGTTGTTGTTCCACGAAGCTCTTGGTTGTTGTTGTTCCACGAAGCTCGTTGTTGTTGTTCCACGAAGCTCTTGGTGGTTGTTGTTGTTCCACGAAGCGCTTGGTTGTTGTTGTTGTTGTTCTTGCGGCCCCGCTTGAGGCAACAACAACCTCCTCTGTTGTTGTTGACGACGCAAGAGGAAACGGGACTAATGTCGCCAGTGAACGTGGCAGGTGCGTGTTGCCGATGACTTTTTGTGTAATTCTCGACGAGCTTCTCGGTTGTTTGATGCTGCGGCAGTGCCGGACTAGGCTAGGTGCGGGGCCTGTAGCAATTTAATGTTGTAAAGGTTCCCTAAATGTAATTACAAAAAAAACAATAAATATTAAAACAAACATTTTTTTTACTTGCATAGTAAAGTTAATTGTAGATTTTCATTTGCTATACAGCCAGATAATATGACAAATCGCTAACCTTAAACACCCGGTCGTTCGTGAAAGTCGAAGGCGGTGTAGTACTATAGTGATAGAGCAAGTGCAGAATCATTTAGCGCTGGGCCATTGAAAGTGCGATGCCCGTAGCTACTACATTTGTAGCTACTTGTGCTGCTACGAGGATAATCCAACACTGTTGCAACCCGGCTTTGTTGTTGGTGGTGATGTGTCCGTGGTTAAAAGTTGTGGTGTGTGTTCAACAACAACAGCGGCAGCTACAACAACAAACAACAACAACAGTGGAACCGCGTTTCGGGTCTCCTGTTGTGTTGTGGTGGTGCTCTGGCTGTTGTTTAATGTTTGTTAAGTCTGTGATCGTTGTGCTTGGTTGAGGTGCAGTAGTAAGCAACAACATATGGATTTACTATCCAGAGAGAGCTGCAAGGTTGATTGGTTGTTGTGTGGTAGTGTTGTGGGGTTGTTGTATTGTGTGGCAGTGTTGTGGGGTTGTTGTGTGGTAGTGTTGTGCTAAAGGGTTGTCGTGTCGTGTGTGGTAGTGTTGTGCTAAAGGGTTGTCGTGTCGTGTGTAGTAGTGTTGTGCTAAAGGGTTGTCGTGTCGTGTGTAGTAGTGTTGTGCTAAAGGGTTGTCGTGTCGTGTGTAGTAGTGTTGTGCTAAAGGGTTGTCGTGTCGTGTGTAGTAGTGTTGTGCTAAAGGGTTGTCGTGCCGTGTGTAGTAGTGTTGTGCTAAAGGGTTGTTGTGTCAGATCAGATCAGAAAGGGTTTTATTCGCCATGAAAGTTCACACCGACACGGAATCTGCTTTGGCAGGATGGGGCATACATTCAACATATAGGAATCTAAAATCTTAAATAAGTTTTAAACAAGTCTTACTATAATAAGGGTTAAAAGTCTAACTAACACCAAGGGGCTGAAGTATATAAAATTGAATAAATATCGAATATAAAATAGCTTTAAGATATAATTTAAAAATGTTAACACTTGCATTATACTATCGTTTTACATTGAAAAAGAACCTGTATAATAACACTGTAACGTGATAACAAATGTAATGTTAATAGCTTCAAAAAGTCAGTCTCCCACTTGTTCACCATCGTTGTCAACACGTGCCCTGGAATCTTCTCCAGAGCATCACATTTCTTGTGGTGTTGTTGCAAATTCTCCAAAGTGTTCACATTTTTTTGAAACACCCTGTATTGTACTGCATATGTTTAAGCAGATAAAAAAACTCTCTTATACCGGTTTTGACCTAACTGGGTCCCATCAATAGAAGCGTGGCTTGCGAAACTATTGTGGGCCAGAGTTTCACGGTCAAACAATTCTAGCCTATATTCATGGCATGTGTTATCATCCTCACGACTTGTGCAAATAAGGGTGGATCGATGATGTCCATTGTTTTCTCAAACCTTGTGGTCCGGGGTAAATGTGGCACGTTGGTGAGCCCTTATCAAGGTCACATCTCAGCCTTGTACACGGGAAGAGGGGGGGGGGACGCTTCCTCACTGTCCTGCCTGTATGCAGAACCCCAGAAGCATCAACAATGGGGTTCGTTTAAGTCAAGTAAAAAAAGAACATTTCGTCACATAAACACGTTAGAATAAACAGGCCGTGTCAAACCAGGTTTTAACGGGGTTAAACAAATCGTGGCTTATAAAACCAATCATAGTTTATTACACCTTTTTGGCAATCCACTATTGGATGGCGGGGCTTATCGAGCCGTGGGGATTGTGTGACCATTCTTCACCATGCTGGTCAGTACGGTTTGGTGAAGGTGGTGAGGTTCAGGACTAGTTTAGATATGAATTGTCACTGATGTTAACCGGGGCCGGGAATCAAAATCCGATAGGTGGGTTCAGCGCACGGTGTGCTAATCGCTGCGCGAACCGCTCCACCAATTTTAAATTACCTTTGGTCATAAATTACCTTTGGTCATTTAATTATGGGAATGCTGCTGCCGTGTGTGTGTAATGGTGATCACGCTGGACTTGGAGTCCAGAAACAATTAATTCGATCTGTCTATCCAGTGGTGTGAATGATGGGCATATCGCGTGTGATGGGGTAAATTGTGGGTACTCCCACAGCTTGGAAAACGTCTGACCATCGTGGAAGATTAGGCCAACACTATCCTCTTGAGGGGAGCTCTCTCGAGCTCTCTAGAGTCCCCCTCTAGTGGAGGGTCCTTCAGCCAGCTGTGGTGTAAGAAATTGCAGGGCTGCGCCTTTATCATGTAAATTGTTACGGGGAGCAGTTGTGCAGGACAGTTTCGGGAGCCGCTGTTTGTTCTCCTCCACATTCCGTATTCTCTGTGGCTCGGTTGTGTGCAGTGGGTGGGGTGCAGGCAGAGTGACTGAACAACAACAACAAGAGACCAAACGCTAAAGGGGTTAAGGCCGAACCACGTTTAATATCCAACTTAAGCGCGGAAGGCAAAGACAGTTTTAGGGACAATCCAAGCCCTGTAGCACCGAAAACATTCACTACCACCCTCTCAACACACAAATCTCAGAACAGCGATCTCAACACACACTGATATGAAGACGCAGTGAATATCCCAGCCCCGGGTATCGCACAAAACATCGTCACTGTTATCTTCCGTCATGACAGCCGTAATCTCCACTCCAGTCGGCTCTGAAGTGACACCCGTTCTGGTTTTCCCGCTGTCAGTGTTCCCCCTCGGAGCAGAATCGCACCAGCCAGGCCCCCCTCATCCGCAGACAGCTCCGAGCATCCACGTGCGAATCTCCGGATGATGTCGAGCACCACAGCTTTTGTTTGTAACCGCAAAGTCGGAAGAGTGTGACAGACGCGGAGCTGCAGGCACCACGCCCTGAAACCCTCTCCCGCGTGCTCCGCAGCGACGGCTCGCGCGATGCTGGACGTCGGCAAGTGGCCGATCTTCGCGCTGCTTCCCGTCGACGAGGTGCGCAGGATCCGGCAGGCGTGCGTGTTCGGCACGTCGGGAAATGAGGCCATCTTCGTCACCGACTCGGATGAGGTGAGAATGGCTCTCGGACGAGGTGACCGTTGCCTGCGGCCGTAGGCGAGCCGCAGCGACGCGGCGATCGTTTTCCACGAGCGTCTGGTTGTTGTGCGGTGCGGCCCTGCGATTGCCTGCTCTAGAGTGAGAGCTATACCCACACTTTACCCCCACCACACTTGACCGGACGATCAACGAACTGTGGCGTCCTGATTTATACTGCTTGGTCGACGGAGGTGGTGACGGGAGGTGGCGTGGAGAAGTTAATAAACTTGCAGCGTTGTTTCAACTGTCGCGCCAAGGAGATCGAATCGAACAAGTGATCTCTCTGTTGCTGCCTCCCTCGTCTCAATAACAACACCCTCACTCTCCCTTTGCCATCTCTCACCCGCCCCCCTCCCGTCCGTCCCTCCCAGGTGTTTGCGATCGGCACCAACTGCAGCGGCTGTCTGGGTACGGGCGACGGGCAGAGCACGCTGGAGCCGTGGCGCGTCGACGCGCTCTGCGGCAAGAAGATCCTCTCCGTGAGCTACGGCAGTGGACCCCATGTGCTGCTCGTCACCAGCGGTGAGGGGGGTGGGCGGGAAGTGGGAGGCGGGGAGAAGAGGAAAGGGCTGGCACGGTAGAACCGCCGGTGCCGTCACCGGTGGGAGTGCGGTGTAAAGCGTTGTGGTCGTGCAATATTGGTCCTTCAGCCGTTGGCCCGAAATCGGTACCACACATGGTGGCTGCTGCCAGGGGCGGAGCCAGGATTTTGACTTTGGGGGGGGTGCTGACTTCAATATTCTGAGATATCCAGTTTATGTTTTCCAATGGGCGCCACAAATGTTTAAGAAGGCCATGGCGAACGTGCGGTGTTTATTAATAGGTCGGAGCCGCTGATGTGGCTAATAAGTTCGATAGGTTCGAAAGGCTGCCACTCAAGCAGCCTGCAGGGCAGCACGAGGTGGCAGCCTGCAGGGCAGCACACAAGGTGGCAGCCTGCAGGGCAGAACACAAGGTGGCAGCCTGCAGGGCAGAACACAAGGTGGCAGCCTGCAGGGCAGCACACAAGGTGGCAGCCTGCAGGGCAGCACACAAGGTGGCAGCCTGCAGGGCAGCACACGAGGTGGCAGCCTGCAGGGCAGAACACAAGGTGGCAGCCTGCAGGGCAGCACGAGGTGGCAGCCTGCAGGGCAGCACGAGATGGCAGCCTGCCGGGCAGCACGAGGTGGTAGCCAGCATTTTGCAGCAGCCAGATATCCGGTTATCCCGATTACCGACTTGCCCAAAATTTCAGGGGGGGCTAAGCCCCCCCCCAGCCCCCCCTGTGGCTCCGCCCCTGGCTGATGCTACCATTGATTTTCCTGAAGCGTTTTGTCTCTTGATAACAAATGTCTATGACAGCAAGGTGACCGTCATGGCTTTTTTTTTGCAGGAATATTTTTTCAACTTAACCCGCGAGTCGGCTGAAACGATAAATATTGGCGTGTTATTAAACGGCGCTTGTACGCCGTGCGACCGTTTAGCTGTGTCGGGTGGTGGAGGGTTCTTAACACACATCTGGCCAGGTCATTTCGTAGTGGCCTTACCCCAAAAATAAGTTGTGAATTAAATAAAACTATTACGACTAAACTTATAACTCTGGCCCTCGTGTACCCGCGGCTGCCCACACCCCCCCCCCTCCCTCCACCCCAGACGGCGAAGTCTACACGTGGGGTCACAATGGCTACAGTCAGCTGGGGAACGGCTGCACCAATCAGGGCGCGGTGCCCTCGCCCGTCTCCACCAATCTGGCGGGCAAACGAGTCACCCAGGTGGCGTGCGGCTCTCACCACTCCATGGTGCTCACGGACGACGGAGAGGTACGTGGGCTGTGGTGGTGGGGGGAGGCACTCAAGACGTGCAGACCGCCGGGTGGGGGAAGTAGGAGGAGGCGGATACGAGGTGGGGAGGGGTGGGGGTTGACCGTGCAGAGGAATGGTTTGCAAATAATAAAAGTGGCTTAGATTCTCCATGGAGTCGCCCCCTGCCTTGCCGACGAGAGGTCACTTCAAGGGGATGCGACAAGTAGCTCTGTGACGGCCGCTTCTGTGGGCACAGGAAAGGATCGCCGGCACTGCTCTGTGAGGGATTCCAATGATTTCCCCATCTCGTGACACCGATAGCTCAATGGGAATAAAGCCGAGAGAGAAAAAAAGATTTCAACTAGGATTACACTTTTTTTAAGCGATTCGAGGAAGCACAAATTTGTTTCTATAATCTTAAGGTTGTAGGTTAGTACTGTATATGGTGCATCATCAACGAAGAAAACAGCTAATTGGATATTTAATCTCATGATACGACACCGATGGCACAATCGGAATATAATTAGATGGATATAGACATATTTTATGTTGTGTGCATGGAGTGGTGGCGCAGCGGTTAGCACACTGCGCAACAAAACCGGCAACATGAGTTCGATTCCCGCCCACAGCCAACACCAGTGACGATTATCTGCACTGGTCCTGAGCCTCTGCTGGGTCGACTGACCCTCAAATGAATAGCTTTTGCAGTGTGTAAAGATGGCGAGTGGGGTCGAGCGTCGTGCTGGCCACCCACCCCCATGTGTGCCGTACCGGAGGTGCTCGCTACAAGCGCTCGCCCCAACAGCCTGTAAAAAATCTATGTGGGGGAGCTTTGTCCTTTGTGCGTCTCCCCACCCACCCACCCACTCCCACGTGCAGGTGTTCACGTGGGGCTACAACAACTGCGGGCAGGTGGGCTCGGGCACCACGGCGAACCAGGCGACTCCGCGCCGCGTCACCGTGTGTATACAGAACAAGTTCGTCGTGAACATCGCGTGCGGGCAGACCTCCTCCATGATCGTGCTGGACAAAGGACAGGTGAGAGCCTCTCGCACCCAGCCAGAGCTGTAGCCTCCAGGAGAGAGAGGGGGGGGAGGGGAAGTTCCCATAGACATCGTTACCGAGGTTGAGGCGCAGCCGCGCAGTTGCCCGCTCGCACCACTGCTGGCGAAAGGGCATCTGATAGAGAGAGCTCCATCTTAGAACAGGTGGAGTCAACCACACCTTGCCCTATCCACTGCTGGGTGGACAGAGATACTGGGAGATTTAAGAAACTGGCTCATAGACTTACATGGAGACCCATGGACATGCAATGGGACACCTATGTACGTCTGTTTCATTTATTTTGCACCGTACGTAGCCAGCCGTGCTAATTGGAAGTGTAGGAGTATATGGTGTGGTGTGTTGTTAACATCGCCACTGCGGATATAAATTGCGGCCGGGCGTGGTGTTGGCCACCCTCCCCCCTCGTGTGCCGTGCCGGCCTTTATTGGTGCTACTCGCTAGCAGCACTCGTCCCAACAGCCTGTTGGGAAAGGCTATAACTGGGGGTCTTTGTCCTCGTGTGCAGGTGTACAGCTGGGGGTATAATGGGAATGGACAGCTGGGCCTTGGCAACACTATGAACCAGCCTACGCCCTGCAGGCTGGTGTCACTGCAGGGCATCTGCATCGTGCAGGTAATCGCGCAACGGGGAGGTGCCTTACCGGAGAAGGCGCCACGGTGGCTAGGTGATGTTAACTACCTCACCTGCTATGCAGGAGGTCGTGGGTTCGATCCCGACCCTGACGACGCCTGCTGTATATTTGGAGTTTGCATGTTCTCCCCATGGTTGCGTGGATTTTTCTTCGGGTCCTCCGGTTTTTTCCTTCCCTCCACATTTAGAAACGTGCCTTTTAAGAGTATTTGGCTGCAATAAATTTTAACATAAGCCACTTCGTTGCGTTGACCTATCTTTTGTGGCCAGGTCGCTTCTGAAAATGAGCTACATAGCTCAGTGGACCTCACCTGGTAAAATAAAAAGTTTTTTTTTACGGCAGTCCAGCAAAGTGCTGACAAATATCATTTGTTCCATCTGGGATAGAGTTGTTGTCCCCTCGCTTGTGCGGGATTTCTGCGGGTGCTGTGGTTTCCTCCCACTTGTATGAACACTCATTAATTGGCCGATAACATTTAAATCCACGCATCGCCCTGTGTCGCAGAGTGCGCAGCATGATGAGATGCCGTCTTGGACGAATGGCATTTTATTTTAAACGCTCGTTAAACGCACATTACTTCTGGACGACACTAGGGGGCAGCACCCACCTGCCCACCCACCCACCTGCCCACCCACCCACCTGCCCACCCACCCACCTGCCCACCCACCCACCTGCCCACCCACCCACCTGCCCACCCACCCACCTGCCCACCCACCCACCTGCCCACCCACCCACCTGCCCACCCACCCACCTGCCACCGACAGTGAGTAATCTTCGTCATGGCAGTCGTACCGATATTTTTATTTCTCAGAGCTGGAATTCAGCCAAAGTTAGTGCAAGTATTGTTACTCGCCTTTTTTGTGTGGCCATATCGCCTCTCTCACAGCCTGTACGGGGAAATTTTGTCTTTGTGTGTGTATATATATAGATGCGTGGATTTATAGATGAAATCGTGTACACATGCAGGTATATTGATGTGTACATACGAGGAAGGGTAGTGTAGAGGTTAGCACGCTGCGCTACCAACCCAGGAACCCGAGTTAGTTAGATTCCCGCTCACGGCCACCAACACCAGCAACGATTACCTGAACCGGTTCTCGGCCTCCCCTGGATCGAGTACCTCGGGCAATGTGTATAAAACATGAGCACGAGGGAGACAAAGGCGGCCGGGCGTGGTGCTGGCCACCCACCCCCTCGTGTGCTGTGCCGGCCTTCGTAGGTGCTACTCGCTAACAACACTTGCCTCAACAAGCCTGTTTTACGTGGGATCTTTGTCTCGGTGCACATGCATGCGTGTGTGCGCGTGTTTGTCACGCGCGACAACAGGTCGTGTGCGGCTACGCTCACACCATCGCGCTGGCCGACGACGGATCGGTCCACGCCTGGGGCGCCAACTCGTACGGGCAGCTGGGCATCGGCAACAAGACGAACCTGCAGGCACCCGTCCAGATCTCCATTGAAGAGAGGTCAGGGATCCCCCTCCCCACCCACCGCACCCTCCGCCCACCCTTTTTAAACCCGACGAGACGGCTTGAGGCTTTCATCCGGCAGGAGATAGATTTGTGGCTGGTGATCTCTCCCGTGTGTGTGTGTGTGTGCGTGGATCTGCGTGTGGTGGTAATGTAGATGCTTTCATGCCGCACATGTGAACCTGGTGAGCGGAGCTTCGATTCCCGCTCAGCGGTGACAAATATCTGAACCAGTCCTGGGCCATCCCTAGGTTGACTCGGCTTTAAATTAAAACCTCAGAATCTGTAAACATCACCATTGGGGAGAGAAAGGTGGCCGGGCGTGGGTGCGGTCCACCCACCCCCTCGTGTGCCGTGCCGAATTTCATAGGTGCTACTCGTTAACAGCACTTTCCCCAACAGTCTATAAAGGCTATATGGAGTGTGTGTGTACGCGCGCGTGCGAGCAGGTTCACGGAGGTAGCCGCATGCCACTTCACGCACACCTCGGCGGGCCGCACCTGCTCGGGCTCCGTGTACGTGTGGGGCCAGTGCCGGGGGCAGTCGATCGCGGCGCCCAGACTCACGCAGTTCACCAACACCGACGACGTGTTCGCCTGCTTCGCGTCGCCGCCCGTCATGTGGCGCCTCCTCGCCATTGGTGAGAGAGCGGCCGCCACCCCTCCACGGGGTGGGGGTGGGTGCCTGGTGATGGGGTGGGGGGCAGACCGTCCGGGGCCCACGAGATTCGGGGGTTGAGGGAGGTGGGCCAGGTGGGTCGGTCGGACGGCCTGAGATGCTGAGGCCAGCACCGCTGAGAGGAAAGCCTGGGTTCCATTCCGGGTTTCGGCCACCTGGTCGGTAACGCCCGGGGTGGGGAATTCCAACGGTGGTTTGCTTGAAGAATGTTATCACACTTCCCGTCATGGCTTGTAATGAGGGAAATGCCGTGAGGTAGCCGGGCGGCTCGGAGGTCGGAGCGCTGAGCTTGCACCGCTGAGAGTTCGATTCCTTGGTTCAGCCACTGCCTGTGATTTAAACCAGGTTCGCAAGCGGAGTAAATAGATGGTCTCAGCCCACTCACCAATGACGTACATTTCAGTGCGTCTTGTAATCCGGTAATTTGAGTAATATATAAAATTTTACTAGTTTGGAGCAGGGGGCTCGACCAGGCGAGGGACAGTCCAAATCTTTATGACCAATCGGCGATAACTGCCCCTCGCTCCCCCCCCCCTGATTCCGTTGCGACCCCCACGTGACCCCCACGTGACCCCCACGTGACCCCCACGTGACCCCCACGTGACCCCCACGTGACCCCCACGTGACCCCCACGTGACCCCCACGTGACCCCCACGTGACCCCCACGTGACCCCCACGTGAGCCACGAACGCCCCCCCTCTCGTTGCCCCCCCTCTCGGCCAGACCGAGAAGACCACGAGACGATGGCGCAGTCGATGAAGAAGGAGTTTGACAACCCGGAGACGAGCGACCTACGCTTCTGCGTCGACGGGCGCTTCATCCACGTGCACAAGGTGGTGCTGAAGATCCGCTGCGAGCACTTCCGCTCCATGTTCCAGTCGCACTGGAACGAGGACGGCAAAGACGAGATCGAGATCGAACAGTTTACCTACCCTGTTTACCGCGCCTTCCTGCAGTACCTCTACACCGACACCGTGAGCCTGCCGCCAGAGGACGCCATCGGTGAGGCCGGAAAAGGGGTGGGGGTGCGGGGGGGGAGTGCCGTGTTGCACCGCGACCAGCATTTTTTTTCCGACGCCATTGCCAGATCTCCGCAACGGGGAAAACTGTTGTGACGGCGGTTTTTGTGTTATTGTTATTATTTTATTATAATTTTTATTTACTGTCACGGCCGTGTGTGTGTGTGTGTGTGTCTGCGCGCTGGCGTGTCACCAGGCCTACTCGACCTGGCCACGTCGTACTGCGAGCTGGGACTCAAGCAGCTGTGCCAGCAGATCATCAAGAAGGGCATCGGCATTGAGAACGGCATCATGCTGTTCGCCGCCGCCGTCAAGTACGACGCCAAGGTACGAGCTCCTCGCAGCGACGCCGTCGCCCATCTTCGTCGTCTTCCGCACCAAGTTATTGGATAGCAAACAGTGCGAGCAGAGGTGATGGAACAAAATTATTTTCGAACGTGGCAGGAGTAAAGGAGGGGCGGGGGTGGTGATGGAGGGGGTACGGTGCAGCGGAAGCCGAAGGGAAGTGGACGTGGCCTGCGTGAGACTTTAATGGATGTGAATTGTGGCGGAATCGCCGGCAGCGCGTGCGCGCTCTCATCAGGTCTCGGAAGCTGAGTGCTTGGGTGGGTGACCGTGGTGCGCAACGGGTGTTGGAGGCTTTTTCGGGTGCTATCTTGTGGGGAGCAGCGGGCAGCGCGGCAGCATTCAGCGGTGCACTTGTGACAGCACGTGTTGCAGAAAAATAGATGCTGCCACATCTATTGAACTTCTTTTTTGCACCGTACGTCGCCAACCGCGCTCATCAGAGGTGCGGGAAATCTATGCTGCCTGCCTTCACAAGCTCACATTGACCAGCGTGGTGAAGTAATTTTCACGGCCTGCATGGCGTGGGGCCTCATCTAGCAGTGGACTGACATAGCTAGAGCCGTCAAGAACACCGGCAGTGCCATGAGCGCGCGCAAGCGAGGGTGTGCGACGACCGTGTTCGCTGCTCACATTCGATCCCCTTCTCTCCTGTCGCACTGGGAGGGATAACCTCCACGCCTCCCCTGCCACACCGCCGGCGCGGCCACCGAACCCCTCCGCTGCCATCACCGGTCACCAATCGCCACCGACCGACCGACCGCCCACCACTACCACGTCCGCACCAGGACCTGGAGGAGTTCTGCTTTCGTTTCTGCTTGAACCATCTGACGGCCATCACGCAGACCAAGGCGTTCGAGCGGCTCGAGGAGCCGCTCATCAAAGACTTTATCATTCGCGCCGGACGCGCCGGGGCCTTCAAGTACTGAGGCCGCCACCCTCGCTCGATCGCCGTACCGGTGCCCCCGCATCTGTCTTTTCACGGGGCCTTTGGCAGAGCGCGTGTGTCAGCGGCGAGTTATCTTAAACCGGTCTACTTGGCCTTAAATATGAGTATCTTATGTCAACATCAACAGTGTGGAGCCCAAGGCGGCTGGGCGCGAGACTGGCCACACAACCCATCTTGTGCACTGCCAGCTTTCTTCGCGCTTGCCCCAACAGTCTGTGCGGCTACACAGGGGTAGGATCTTTGTTTTGTCATATTTTTTGTTTGTTTGTGCCTGTAAGTGGGCACAGGTGGCTCTTGCCATTCGTGAAGAGCGGGCTGTTCAACCGAGGCCAGCTGGCTTGGTAGCACACTATAATTATTACAATACCACTGCGAATGCAATAGAGAAGTGAGGATGCTGAGCTGTAGACGGTGCATCCCACTGCTACCAGCACCAAAACTGTTGCTCCCCCAGCTGTGGTTTCTGTCCTGAGACTACTTCACGCTGCATTCCACCTCACCCCACCGTGCGTTTCACTTGCACATTCCTCCGGCTCCGGTAGGTCGGCGTGTCGTGGGTTAAAGTATGGCTACTGCCACCTATTCCAAGGTGTGTGCTGGTCAGCGTGGAAGAGTAGGCCAAAAGTACCTTCCAGCTAGCATTTGATTAGCTGGTGTAGCTCCACCCATAAAACTAGCTTGCCCTATCCCTGAGCCTAACAAACTAACCGTTAGTACTCGCCCTGCCTCTGAACCTATCCCAAACCAACGAGCCATTAGTACGAGCCCTGACTCCAATCCTAACCAACTAACCATTAATACTAGCCCTGCCTCCAACCCTAACCAACTAGCCATTAGTACTAGCCCTGCCTCCAACCCTAACCAACCAGCCAGTTGTACTAGCCCTGCCTCCAACCCTACCCACTGCTGGCCAACGAGCTACTTGGCTATTTGTACAACCATCTCGCCAGCCAGACACTAGTACTAACCTTACACCGATCCCTGACCAACGCGCTACTGGTGGCTGCCCCATCGCTAACCCCAATCTTAACCCTGACCCCACGTCTGCCACTCTGGCAGGGTCTCGCATCGCACGGTTTGCTGCTTGCATCGCCGCCTTGGCACGCGATGAGCCCTGCGTTTGCGATCGGAGAAATTGGCGAGGAATTCACCCCTTGCCTGTCTCAGCCACGACCCCTGACTCCATGACCTTGACACCCATGTAACCCATGTAAACAGCTCTGAGCCGGCGTGTGGCATTGGACGGTAGCAAACAATGGCACTTAGCTTTACGGTCGTTTATAAGCGATAAATATTGGGTTTGTTATATATACAAATAACTGTGAATTAAGGAAAGTTCAGGAAGTAATATATGTGACGGTTGTGCGTTATTGTTGACCAATCGGAGAGCATGAAGAACCGGTCCATGACTTTGTGCTGCCTTTGAAAGTATTATTTTGCTCTTAATTTTTTTTTTATGAATTACAATCAGTTTGTTTTGTGTGTTCATACGGTTGATCGATTCCTTAAAACTCTTCCATCTGTGATCTCGTGTTACTTGGCATGGGAAGCGGATAGCTCGTTGCGGTGTGGCGACAATGAATTGCATCGGTTTTTTCCGCACGTCAAATCAAAATATCCCAAAAAAATCCATCTGTGGAACACCGATGCCAGCCATGCCCTGGTTATCTCTCTGTCAATGTGATTCATGTCCGTTTTCAAACAAGTTGGAAAATCATGGGCCTTCCATTTGCCTCTGTCCATGAACGTTGCAACATATTCCTAGTTTAAATTTCCACGTGTACCAAATGACAGATCGTACTTGAGAAACCAGTTTGCTTACTTGTAATGAGCTTGTGCAAGCATTTATGTTTTTATACTTTACACCCATCGTTGTTGGAAGGTTGATTATGCTGTGGCTTAACACTCGCGTCGTCCTAGATATCAGTCGCTCATCTTATTAATTATTTGCCAATAAATGTTCACTTTGAGGTTAGTTGCGGTTGGAATGACCTGATTATTTCGTCACTAATGTTTCACGTGCAGAGACTGACACAGACAGAAAGAGGAATGTGTGGATTTGAGAACATGCGCAAGTTAGCGAGGTCATCTCGACCGTACCAAAGTAAAGTGGGCTCTCGGGCAGGACGCATCCCTAGCGTTGTCACCTGTCCACACGTGACTCACCTGGGCAGTCCAGGATATGGCATCCGAGTTCAGGTGGCAGGAATTGTTTTGAGTATAGACCCAGTGCCTACCGTGAAACATGAGTGTTTGGTCTGCGGACAAGGTGGCAACCCCAGACGATGGAGTGGCAGCCAAAGGAAAACAACTATGGGCGAAAGGACGTCGACCGCGGAGACGGAGTGATTAAATTGGTTTGTGTGCAGCAGTGAGGCGGACCGATGCATCGTAAGACCGCGAAAGACGACAGGACGTCTTGGAGTGGGAGGCCTTCATCCAGCAGTGGATTGCTCACGGACGATGCGGACGGATGTCACTCCCGCAGCTTGAAGAGAAGGCGCTGGACCGACGTGGCGATACCGAATCGGACTTTTATTGGAATTCGTCGGCAGATAAAAACTACAGCCGGGTAAACGGGGTGACCATTCACAGCATCGCACAAATAAATAATGTTCCTAACAGTAGACACTGCAGCTTCTTGTGCTCAAAATTATACAACTCTGGTTTGTGTCTGTGGATGATGTGAAGTGGCGTGGAGTGGCGAGGATCGGGGAGGGACGGTTCCTATTTTAAGATCAAACTGGATTCAGAATCCAGCCATGAATCGTCATGAAGCCAGGGGTCTGTGTGTACGAGGTGAGAGGCAGATAGAGACTGTGCGGTCGCGAAGCAGCCTTCCCTTTTTTTGAGTTTTTTGTTTTTGCAATTACTATAATTTCGCTTGTTTACCCATGAAAGCTTCACCAAGTCTCAAATCTTTTTCAGGAGAGTTCTGTCAATTTTTTTACAAAAGGGGAGCAATCTTGCTGCTGTGGATAACCTCACAATTGGGTAATTTGCAAGATTTTTTCAGCATTTAGGTTATTTGGCCATTACGAGTTACATTGTGTCTTCTGTTCCCATTAAGGTAAGGCCCCCTGTTTGTAAAGCTTGACATTTTGGGATCTCCCCACCCTCCCTTTTGTAAAGTTTCTCCATCCGCGTCTGGTCTGTTTACATTTTTGTTGGGGAAGATGAAATAATGAAATTTCCGTGTGTGCGACATGAGTCTGTGGAGGGGGGGGGATGACGTGATCATCTGTAAGACTAGTAATGAGCGCGAGTCTCTGTGAGCATTCCAAATAGCTGACGAAGAATCCATGTGGTGGGATGAGCTGGTTAATTCCTCGGTCCGAGAAGAGCCGATGAGAGGTTCTGCGTGGACCCATGGGCACCTCCGCGTTATTCAAAGGGATCCCCGCACACTATTTTGACAATGGCTCCTGTATAGCGGCCGTCTGGTGACAGTGCACACGTCCTGTGCACACGTCCTGTGCACACGTCCAGTGCACACGTCCAGTGCACACGTCCAGTGCACACGTCCAGTGCACACGTCCAGTGCACACGTCCAGTGCACACGGCCTGTGCACACGGCCTGTGCACACGGCCTGTGCACACGGCCTGTGCACACGGCCTGTGCACACGGCCTGTGCACACGCGGGACACGGCCATCACAGCAGCGTAGTATAAACCGCGGACAAAAAAAAATCAGAATCTCGGCGATACCACACCGCGGTGGTCCATCGCGCACGCGTCGAGTGCACATGCCTACGCATGTACGGTACACCAACGCGTGTACGGTACACCTATGCGTGTACGGTACACCGTCACGTGTACGGTACGCCTACGCATGTACGGTACGCCAACGCGTGTACGGTACACCGTCACGTGTATGGTACGCCTACGCATGTACGGTACACCGTCGCGTATCCGACTGTCGTGTGTCTACCCCGAACCGATTAACCCCCCCGCCCCCAGGTGCAATGTATGCACACATGGTGTGACAAACGTTCACAATTCTGACCCTCTTCATGCTCGGTAACGCATCTTTAACCCTCGCGTTACACTTCCCTTGCTTCGAGAGCAGCCTGCGTTTTACTATTCGCCCCGGTACCAAATTTGTGGAAAACGATCAATTGTCTCCATGGATGTTCCCATATTCTATTTTTTCCCAGGGTCCGCCCATCACCATTGTCCACACGGCGAGTCGGATACGCGACGTTGGACCGCTCCACGCAACCCACTGCACCGCCCTCTATGTACACCTTAGCCCCACCCCGCCCGGGATTCACCATCTCCCGCTACGATAGTGGGCCCCTGTTGCCTGCAAAGTGAGAATAATAATGATGATAATAATAAAAACCCTGTCGTGCTTCGTAATCGGATTCACTTCACACGACAATCGGAGAACTGTGGCTGAGAAAGTGGGTACGAGTAGTGGGGTGGAGAACAATCCAGCCCAATGCCAGATTCCCACCGCCTGCTTCATATAATCCGGCGCACGGCAAGGTTTTTGCCACCTGCCCGGGAATTGAGATCTCTGTTCGGGTGACAGGCACTGATTTCTATCGAGGTTCGGTTCCGGTGTATTTGGAATTCACCACAAACTAGAATAATCGTCATCATAATAGATCCAGTGCCGACTGTGAAATACGTGTGGGTTTGGTCTACAGTCGAGAAAGTGGCAGCCCCCACACGGCACGTGACTTCCATCATTGCACAGCCATGCTGAGGCCTGCTGCTTCTAAACGGCCCAGAAACGATATCCACCACTGCAAGCATGTTAACCGCACTGATTTTGGGTACTAGGGGGGCAATATTTTGTTCGATCTGGCAAACAGCAGCGGTGGGCCCTTAATTATATTTCGCGTTATGCTTTGATGGCACTAACTTTTTGCATTTATAGTGCTGCTCTGAGCAAAACTTTTTTGAACGTTCTGTATAGACCTTCGGAAAGAGAACGGTTCCCTACCCTTCCCGCTCCCCCCCCCACCACCACGGGAGAGGATACGATCGATCGGAGGGTCTGTGGAAATCGGCGCTTCAGATAAGCCGCCTACCCGGGAATTTGTACGCATCTGAACTTAAGGATGAATTGCACTTGACGTTCCAATTGGGGGAGATTCCCGTGACGGCGAGAGACGGGGACGCGTGCGCGAGTGGTGAAGGAGAGGTTTGTGAAACGCTCGTTAATGGAGTTGACCAAACATGCCAATAGAGGGTCACAGAGCTGGGGCAATTTGTTCGTAGCACCGGTTGTGGGGCTAACTTCACCTTCCCCGCTTCTCTCTGTGATATCCTGCGCTTCTTGATTCACTCTCTCTCGCTGAGAGCAAACGAAAGCTGTGTGGCGTGTTACACACGTGCATATTGTGTGTTTATTAAGCGGGGGGGGGGGGGGGGGAGGGGCGGGGCCTTGATACGTTTCCTTTTGGGAATAAAACGGTTTTGGAAAGATTCTCACGGAGAAACTTTCTTGCCGTCATTTTCTTTCGTCGCTGTCGCCAATTTTTGTTAGTATTGTAAGAGAAAGCGTTTGTTTCCACAGTAGATCGAAGTTACTTGACGATTAAAATCTAAAGACTTCCAGTTATTGACGCACATTCCATAATTCGGGGCAGGTGGCTCAGCGGTTTGAGCAAGCAATCGGAAGGTCGCGAGCCCTCAGATTCTGGTTACGGATCAACTCAGCCCATCATCCCTCCGAGGTCGTTAAAATGATGTACCGATGGCTCTGGGCTGAAAAGGGGAGGCGAGCTTAGCCTCAGCTCATTTGAGAAGGAAATCACTTTGACCTTGACCCTAGGTGGTCAGCGTGAAAGACCGCACAGTTTTTATCAACGCGTCACTCGTGACTTCGTAAAGGTGCCGTCGACATGGGAGGGTGAGTGTCGCTGGTACCCAAAGTCCTTATCTGGAGCGCCATGGGGATCCCGTTGGCATGGCGCAGCGCTAGCGGATAAGCGCGCACACCGCTTGGCTGCACTCCACCACCGTGACGCGTCACTCGGCTCTGCTCCACCACAGCGCATCACTCGGCCTCATTCGCCACTACGGCGCATCACTCGGCCCCACTCCACCACCGTGACGCGTCACTCGGCCCCACTCCACCACAGCGCGTCACTCGGCCCGATCACCACCGCGGATCGTCACTCGGCCCCACGGCTGCCAAACTCCCGACGCGCCTTCGCCCGTGACATCTGCCATTTCTGTAACTCCGTTACTCACTATGTTAGTCGCTTTCCAAATGTACGGGTAATTACCAATTTACATAACATTACCGTTATGCTATATATATACTGTATATAAAACAAATACACAAAAACACATCACCCATAGCAGCAGACTCGTCGCGCCGTGTTGTCACAGGGTGCACGCACCTGTCACGCACGCACCTGTCACGGTGCAACATTGCGACACGGGCACGTTTCACGGCGTGAACTGGAGGGGGGTGGGGGGGGATGCAGCGGAGGGGGGAGCCCTGTTGAGACGCGAGGTCATGACCTCGGCTCCCCCGGCTCTCCGGCTTCACGCGAGCCTGCCGCATCGTTCCCGTAGCTGTGGCTCGTCGCCGTGAATATTCCCCTCCGCCTCCCCCGAACTCGTTCTCAACTTGGACAACACGAAGAAGCGGCCGCTCGACGCCTCCCAGACGGCGGCCAACGCACGACGCACCGGGGGAGTTCCATTCCACGGCCGCCGTTGCCGCTGCCGCTCGCAGCGCCGTCGATTTTTTTTATCACCGGCCCAGGGAATGGCGCGCCGTCGCCTTCGACGCCACCCCCACCCCCCGCGCTCGGCCTTACGGCGGCGCCGTGGCGTACCAGCTCCGTTGCCGGGATCCATCTCCCGCGTGTCGGCGGCCACGCGGTCGGCGCCGTCGAGCGGCGGGAGAACACCGCCGAGCGTCCGATCCCCTCCCGTTCTCCCCGCAAGTCCAACTCGGGCGGCGACGGACGCACGGCCGCACGAGAGCGGCGTGCGCGGCCGCCTCCACCCAGCCGCGTGGAAATCTCCGGCGAGGCGGTTGTTGTTATCCTCCCAACGGTCGGACAGGGAAACGCTCCGCTTCAGTTCGTCCGAGCAAAAGCGTCGGCGCGTTCCTCCGGCGCGATCCGTTCCGCCCCCCCCTCCCCCCCGTCCCCTTTCCCCCCCCCGCCGCCTCCCTTGCACCGTGGACGCGCGCTACACCCGGGTGGTCGAGCGCGAGTGCGGGAGGGTGGCGCTGTTTATCCCCGCGGCGCCGACCCCCCCAGCGGACGCGGGGCCCATGCCCGCGCCCGGCTGCCCGAACGCGCCGAAGGCGTGAAGCGGCTGCGCCTGCGAGAGGTGCAGGCCGTGGTGGAGCTGCTGCTGCTGCTGCTGGTGGAGGTGGGCCACGCCGGGCGCGAGCGAGTTGGGGATCATCGCGATGGTGCTCGGCGTCATCAGCGGAACGTCGTCCGGCGAGCGCCGCAGCGCCAGCGTGTAGTCGGGCGGGAAGCCTCCACCGCCTCCGCCGCCTCCGCCGCCGCCGCCGGGGCCGCCGTAGCAGCCGCCGGGCGCGCCGGAGCCCGGCGGGGGTTCGCCGTCGCGGCCGCCGCCGTGCTTGAGCTGCAGGGACATGATCTCCTCCTCGGGCGGCGGGTGGCGCAGCGAGAGATCGTTGGCGGCGCCGCCGAGGCCGCCGTGCTGGGGGCTGCGGTGGCGGCGGTGCGAGTTGACGACGTAGCGCTTGTCCTTGCGGTAGTAGAGCGCGGCGAAGGCGAGCACGTTGAGGAAGAGCAGCGAGGCGCCCACCGCGATGGTGACGCTCAGCTCCGTGCTGTAGTCGCGCTGGCTCTCCAGCAGCGCCGGGTTGGGGCCGCCGCCGATGCCAAACGTCTTGCGGTCGTTGTCCGGCGGGTTCCGGGACGCGAAGGGCGGGGAACTGCCCAGGCCCGGCCGGTTGGTCGGCGTCACCCACTTGTTGGGCCGCATGGTGGGGTAGCCGCCGCCGCCGTGGTCGAGCGACGGCACGCGCGTCGTGGTGGACAGGTACGGGTTTATGTCGTGCAGGCTGTGCAGGTGCGGCACCAGCTCCAGCCAGAACGCCACCTGCGGACGGCGGGCGCAGATCGAGCGAGAGAGAGAGGGGGGGGGTGAACGGGGGCCCTGGGGGGGCGCATGTTGCCACGCCGCGCCGTGCGGTGCGCAAAAACCGCAGCGCCGCCATTCCTCCCAACGGTGGCAATGAGGTCAGTAAATCGGCTACGGGGGAGTCGGGGAGGGGGGCGGTGAAATCGGGCTAATGGTAATGCTGGCACACATTGGCCAACTCTTTCCTACTCCTTTCTTGAGTAACGTCACGGAGTCTTTACCGCCCACCGGGAAGTGGACGGCACGGAGATTTTCTAGGGACGACACCGCAGCCTCCCCCCCCCCCCCCCCCCCGCGTTATTAACCAGGGCAGCCTGCGGAACCCGAACCGCGAACCTCCGTAACGACGAGGGGCAAGTGCGTTACCGCCGGTAACCAGGCCCTAGCGCTCGCGCACACACCAGCCCCGTTTGCTGGACGAAACTCTTCAGTCGGAGTAACGCGCGCGTCCCTAGTGGCGCGCCACCTAGCTGGAGGTACTACTACGGTGGTGCCCACCTTGTTGGTGCGGTAGTGCCCCGGGTTACCGGTACTACTACTACTACGATGGTGCCCACCTTGTTGGCGCGGTAGTGCTCGCGCACGCGCGGCTTGAGGCCGATGTGCAGGTAGTGCTGGTCCTTGGGGTTGTACTTGGACCAGGCCACCTCCTCGAAGCGGTTGGGCTTCGTGTGGATGAACTTGGTGTCCTGCGGCACCGGAGAGTTCGGGTCGCTGCGCGGGGACGACGGGAGGGACACGAGAGGCGACAGCGCGAGGTTTAATTCCGTGCCGACACCAATACGAGCGACGCCGAGTGACGGTGACCTCCCCGCGGCGCCTGCCGCGGGGAGATCGTGAAGTGTCGGAGGCTCGTTGACAGGAGGGTCACGGGACAGCCCCCGGGGTGCCACGGGCCGACCGTCCGAGATGACCGCCGGACACACGCGCGCGCGCACGGCCGCAGCTTCGCTCACCCGGTCTTGGCGAAGTTGCTCCAGTAGGTCATGACGACGGCGCTCAGCATGACGTCGTTCTTGGAGAAGTTGCAGGGGAACAGCTCCGTGGGGCCCACCATGGGCACGCCGAACACGTACGGGATCTCGTCGCCGTGCGCCGCGTCGGCCCACGCGGGCTTCATCTCGCTCTGGCAGTGGTGGTAGAAGGCGTAGACGTAGGTGGGCGAGCCGTACTGCGCGTGGAGGTCGGCCGTGGCGACGGCGGGCGCCACCCACTGGTGGTCGGTGAAGAGGGCCAGCAGCGTCTTGCGGCGAGTCTCCGCGTTGTCGCGGTCCGCCCAGTCGGTGTACATGAACTTGATGGTCTCGCGGAGCTCGTCCTTGCCCTGCTGATAGTGACGGCGGTGACGACGACGACGACGACGACGATTTACAAGGTAAAAATGCAACAAAAATACTTCATGTGTGGTGTTGCGGGCAAAGGGCCCTGAACCCTTAAACCCTCAGGCCCCGGGTGTTCCTACTGACGAGCGTGTCGAGCTCATTGGTACTGCCCGGCAGACAGAGGCAGCGTGAGTTTGGGGGATTTGAGAGGCTTGCACAGCTGTGGAATCGTCACCGCTACCCACTGGGTTGTATTCACTCAAACCATGCCCACGTCCCTCACCGCCCCCCCCCCCGTGCCCCTCACCTCCGGGTAGCCGTAGAGGTTGTCCACGAAGTTGGAGACGGCGAAGTCGAAGTCGCTGCTCGTGACGCCGTCCTCGCCGTCCACCATGTTCTCCACGAACTTGAAGCCCTCGCCCTGGTTGATGCCCATCATCACGTCGTAGTTGAGGAACTCGCCCTGCTCCATGAGGATCTGCGGGTCGTCCGGGATGACGTCGCCGTCGATGACGGGCCCGAAGGCGATGTGGTAGCGCGCCGGCTGCACGTCCTGCTCCACGAGCTCGCGAGCCGGCCTCGAGCGCAGGCACTCCACCATGTCCTGCGCCAAAAAAAGGCAGAGAGGCAAAGGGTCTCCCGCCGCCACCGGGTTAGCCACCGCGACGGGCTGTCCGGGGGGCCAAGTGCCCGCGGTCGTTATCGCGCGCTCCACCCTCTCTCCTGCGCTTGCAGGCAAAAGCGGAGGTCAAGGTTTTCCCCCCCCCCCAGCTGGCCTACACGGGCTGTTGGGGCAGGCGCTGCCCATCATCATCAGGCTGTACGTGCACGCGCAGAGTGCTAGAGTGACGTTTGGGCCGTGAGCGGTGGCACTCGGAGGCACGCACGCACGTGCCCACGCACGCTCCCACGCACGCATGCGCCCACGCAGTGTCAGAAGCGGTTAGAGGATCGTGCAGCCGTAGTCAGCAGCCCGAGTTCGATTCCCACTTTCGGCCAACAGCAGTGACAAATGACTAAACCGGTCCCACGCCTCCCCTCGATCGACTCCCCCGTCAGAGAAGTAACTGCTTGCGGGGTTTGTAAAACGTCATCGCCGGGGAGGACATGGCAGTCCGGGTGTGGTGTTGGCAAGTCGTGCCGTGCCGTGCCGACCTTTGTGGGCGCTACTCGCCGACGGCACTTGTCCCAAAGACGATGAGGAGGCTGTTTAACACGAAGCAGGCTTTCGCGACCAACTTTCTTTGGAGCCTCGTCTCTTGTGTGGACCAATCAGTTTCAAAGACAATGCCAATATATTATGAGAGTAATGTTTTTTGTTTGCATTCTGACCACAAGTATTGCGGTTAATGCAGACATGAGTCCTCGTAAGAGGTTTCAGTTTGGTGTAACATCTTAACACAGCTGTTTTGTTGCCAGAAAAAAAGGGGAAAACCTCTTCTCATTTACAATCCGAGGTCGACATTTCATCGGGCGTTTTGTTGACATGACGAATCCCTTGCCGATTGGCCATGTCGGGTGGTGGAGGGTCTCGACACAACATTTATACTTAACGCGATCTAACCCAAAAACCTCTATTATGATGTTGAGGCTATTCGGGGTGGGGTGGGGGAAGGGTCTTTGTCTCTGTGGGTGTGCCGCGTCACGCTACCTGCGTGTTGAGCGGCGCGCCGCAGCCCACGCGCGTCGCCAGCGTGTGCGCATACTTGCTGGGGTCGTAGTTGATGGCCCAGCTCGACAGCGCCGTCCCGCTCTGCGTGATCGCTCTCTGGAAGAGCCCTGCTCCACGCCGTAGCGAGAGACAGGGCCAGGAGCGGGTGTGACGAGACGGAGGATAGAGGGAGGAGAGAGATAGATAGGAGGGAGGGAGGGAGGGAGGGAGCGGGAAGGCGCACGCATGGACAACACATCGTCATTCACGTCCAGGCGACATCAACGATGTCTGGAATTGTTAGCAAATAAAGTCGAGTTCGGAGGTGGCAACGGTTGATGCCCGCCGCAGGATTGATCAGGGCGGCCGCCCTGGGTTGCTGGGACGGCAAAGGGGTCGGTTCCGCCAGAGGAGACCCGCTCCCCCCTACCCGCCCCTCCCCTCCCTTTCACCTTCCGAGTGGTGGGACAGGGTGAGCAGGTTGACGCAGGAGGCGCCGGCGCCGGAGCCGAACACGGTGACGCGCTGGGGGTCCCCGCCGAAGCCGGCGATGTTGTCGCTGATCCAGCGCAGGGCCTGGATCTGGTCGAGGAGGCCGAAGTTCCCGCGCGCCGACTGATCGTGCGTACTCAGGAACCCTGGGCGGGGGGAGAGACGGACGGACGGACGGGCGGCGATGACGGCCGCGGCGGTGGCGGTCGCGCCGAGGCGTGCGCCGTGTGCGCGTTGCCGTGGCTCTGGCTGTTTGCTTACAGGGACAGCTGCTGCTGGGGGTGCCCTAGGCTCGACCACGCAGCAGCAATACGCCCTCCTCCTGGCAGGAGACCGATGCCCGCTCGCAGGCCTCGTGCCGAGTCACCTCGTGCCGCGCAGGGAGGGCTGCCGCCGGGGGTGCGATGATGCAAGCCGCTTGCCGCGTGCACGGCGCTCCGAGACGCCGCGGCGTAGGCGGAGGGCGGCCGAAAACCGGAGGTCATTCTTCTCGTGGGCATTATTTATTTATTTCGACATCTCACGTGGATGATCCCCGAGAGACGGCACATCTCGTTTGCAAGGGTGTCCGGGGATGGCGCGCATTCTGCCTGTGAAGTGCCCGCTCTGTCTGGTGACGCGGTTTAATGTTGAGCGTTCCAGGGTCAGAGTGTGCGAGGTTCTTAATGTGGATGGCAAGGCGATGTCAATAGGAAACAGAGAACGGTGGACAATGCAGACGATGGACAATGCATACAGTGAGGGAAAAAAGTATTTGATCCCCTGCTGATTTTGTACGTTTGCCCACTGACAAAGAAATGATCAGTCTATAATTTTAATGGTAGGTTTATTTGAACAGTGAGAGACAGAATAACAACAACAAAATCCAGATAAACGCATGTCAAACATGTTATAAATTGATTTGCATTTTAATGAGGGAAATAAGTAATTGACCCCCTCTCAATCAGAAAGATTTCTGGGTCCCAGGTGTCTTTTATACAGGTAACGAGCTGAGATTAGGAGCACACTCTTAAAGGGAGTGCTCCTAATCTCAGCTTGTTACCTGTATAAAAGACACCGGTCCACAGAAGCAATCAATCAGATTCCAAACTCTCCACCATGGCCAAGACCAAAGAGCTCTCCAAGGATGTCAGGGACAAGATTGTAGACCTACACAAGCCTGGAATGGGCTGCAAGACCTTTGCCAAGCAGCTTGGTGAGAAGGTGACAACAGTTGGTGCGATTATTCGCAAATGGAAGAAACACAAAAGAACTGTCAATCTCCCTCGGCCTGGGGCTCCATGCAAGATCTCACCTCGTGGAGTTGCAATGATCATGAGAACGGTGAGGAATCAGCCCAGAACTACACGGGAGGATCTTGTCAATGATCTCAAGGCAGCTGGGACCATAGTCACCAAGAAAACAATTGGTAACACACTACGCCGTGAAGGACTGAAATCCTGCAGCGCCCGCAAGGTCCCCCTGCTCAAGAAAGCACATATACATGCCCGTCTGAAATTTGCCAATGAACATCTGAATGATTCAGAGGACAACTGGGTGAAAGTGTTGTGGTCAGATGAGACCAAAATGGAGCTCTTTGGCGTCAACTCAACTCGCCGTGTTTGGAGGAATGCTGCCTATGACCCCAAGAACACCATCCCCACCGTCAAACATGGAGGTGGAAACATTATGCTTTGGGGGTGTTTTTCTGCTAAGGGGACAGGACAACTTCACCGCATCAAAGGGACGATGGACGGGGCAATGTACCGTCAAATCTTGGGTGAGAACCTCCTTCCCTCAGCCAGGGCATTGAAAATGGGTCGTGGATGGGTATTCCAGCATGACAATGACCCAAAACACACGGCCAAGGCAACAAAGGAGTGGCTCAAGAAGAAGCACATTAAGGTCCTGGAATGGCCTAGCCAGTCTCCAGACCTTAATCCCATAGAAAATCTGTGGAGGGAGCTGAAGGTTCGAGTTGCCAAACCTCAGCCTCGAAACCTTAATGACTTGGAGAAGATCTGCAAAGAGGAGTGGGACAAAATCCCTCCTGAGATGTGTGCAAACCTGGTGGCCAACTACAAGAAACGTTTGACCTCTGTCATTGCCAACAAGGGTTTTGCCACCAAGTACTAAGTCATGTTTTGCAGAGGGGTAAAATACTTATTTCCCTCATTAAAATGCCAATCAATTTATAACATTTTTGACATGCGTTTTTCTGGATTTTTTGTTGTTGTTATTCTGTCTCCCACTGTTCAAATAAACCTACCATTTAAATTATAGACTGATCATTTCTTTGTCAGTGGGCAAACGTACAAAATCAGCAGGGGATCAAATTCGTTTTTCCCTCACTGTACAATAAGCAATGACAGTGGTGGACAATGCGGCTCAGAGGCTTGAGAGTGATGGGCAATGCAGGTGAATAATGCATTTGAGAGACAATCTTCGTGGTGGAAGAGGACGGCGGTGGACAATGCGGCCGAGAGACATCGAGAGCGGTGGACAATGTGGGCCGAGCCCCTGCTGTTCCCGCGGTCACCCTCGGCGCCTTGCGAGGAGCACACGGCGGGGGCGGTGCGATCGTTGGATGGCAGGGGGGGGGGGGGATGGCGACCCACCATAAATCACTCTCCTCGCGCTCACCCCCTCGCCCACTCTCCCCCACCGCCCGCCCGCCCGCCCCGCTCTATGCTAATGTAATCTACGGCGATCGAGCGGCACGGCGGCGGCGACGGCCAGATGTGCCCGGCGCTCGCGCCCGCCCGCCGTGACCAGTCCCCCCCCCCACCTTCCCCCCACCGCGCGCCCGCACCTCTCGAAAGCCAAGCAGGCATCGGAGCCCGGGCTAACCGCCTGCAACGGGACACTGCCCTGGCCGGGAGCAGGTGCTGTGTAGGATAGGGCTGCGGGCTGACGCGGGAGACAAGGGTGGATTCTTGAACGCATCTGTGTGGAACTTTGGGCGCTTACCCCCCTGCCCGCCCGGGCCTCGCACGCGTGGGTTTTGTCCAGGTACACTGACTGCCTCATCCCGATGCATTCATAAGCGCCAGACACTCGTTAATTTATACTGGACAGTTATCCAATGGGGGCGATTGCACCCACCCATCCCTCCGCTCCCTCACCCCCCCCTCCCCGCCCCAGATACCCCAAATTATTGATTGATATTTACCAGATAAAATACACTAAATGTTTATTTATTATTAATACAGGGCCTAATTAAAAATCTTGACATTTCCGTATCGACCGCCCCCCCCCCCCTCCTCTTGGGACGTTTCCAGATCCACACCTCCGAATCTCCGTGTCGCAGGACCCTCTGAAACAAGTCTGTAGACTCTCCTCGATATGAACATGGGGAGGGGGGGGGCCCATTGTTGTTGGTGCTGTCGTTATGACGAGAACCGCAGGGCAGGGCACGGACCACAGCTCGGGTGACCCCCCCTCCCCCCCCAGTCACGTGGCCCCCAAGGTGACCTCGGCGATGAACGCCGTTGACCCCGTTGACCCCCGTTGACCCCCGTTGACCCTGCTGACCCCATCGCATTGCGGGCCGTGTGGGCGGCGTGTCCTGCACGGGAGCGACCGTCGCCGCGCCGCACGCTAAACCCTGCGAGATTTCCTCATCGATTCCTCGTCTCAAGGCACCAAGCCGATGGAGGGGCGCAAGCACGGGGAATAAAATTGACAACAACAACAACTAACGCACCCCCACCCCCACCCAAACAAATTGACAAAGCCACGGAGGCTACGCTCTGAATACGGCGGGGGCGGAGGGCGGATGGAGCGGAGTGGCACGGGATGACAACGCGGAGGGGCGCGCCGCGCCTCTTGCGTTCTTCGTCCCAGATTCTCCCTTGCAAAGAATCTGGGACGAGGAAAAGCCGAGCAGTGCCGGCGCCGGAACCTGTCCGGCACGGCTCCGGTCCGGCTCTGGGATGGCCGTGGAAACGCCGCGCGCGTCTCACCCAGCACGCCGAGGCGGTAGTTGATGGTGACCACGATGACGTTGCCGTAGCTGGCGAGGACGCTGCCATCAAACATGTTGCCCGTGCCCTCCATGTAGGAGCCGCCGTGGATGTAGACCATGACGGGACGCGGGCCGCTGTCGCGGATGTCTGCGGGAGCACACGCAACGCGCCATGCACTGCACGGTATACACCGCACACCACGCCACGCATTACACGCGACACGACACGGTACACGCGGGACACGGCACGGTACACGCGGGACACGGCACGGTACATGACTCGCGCGGGACACACCACGGTACACGACGCACATGGGACACGCCATGGTACATGACTCACGCGGGACACTCCACGGTACATGACCCACGCGGGACACTCCACGGTACATGCGGGACACGGTACATGGGGAACACGCCACGGTATATAACCAATAACACGGCCCATAATAGTGGCGAATAGTTGAACTGGTCTTGGGACTCCCCAAGATCGACTCAGCATTAAACTGGTTTCTGGTGCCGTCTGTAAACATTCGCACTGGGGAGACAAACATGGCCGAGCATGGTGTTGGAAACCCATGCACCTTGCCGATCTTCATAAGTGCTGCTCGCTAACAGCACTTGCCCGAACAGCCTGTTAAAGGCTATCCAGGGGATCTTTGTCTTTGTGAATAACGCTAAGCATGATAGCGCTAATAGCCTGTGTCGAAACCCACCACCACCCTACGCATCGCTCCATGACGCTGGATGTAATTACCAGCGAAACGCTGAACTCAAATTGTAAACGCTGTGGATTTACTCTCCAACACACCGGTGGGCTGAAGCGGTAACTAATTGGCACGTTTTGTTTACGCGACAAACCGTACTGGTTGGCTGTATCGGGTGGTGGTGGGTTACAGCACATTTATACTTATGCGATCAAACCCAAAAACCTTTATTATGAAGGTGATAAAGGTTACCGCTCAATATCTGCTACCACTATAATAATAAAAATCACTTCAACTTGTACCACGCCACACGATCCTCGCTCTCGTAGAGAGAGAGAGAGCGAGAGAGGCGGAGGAGGAACCACAGATGAGCGGGAAGGCAGCAGCACCCACGCGGTCAGGATCCGGCGCTCCCAACAATTGCTCAAGCTCTGCAGTACTCTATATATGAAGGTGTTATCGGCCAATTAATGAGCGTTTACGCGTGGGGAAAAAAAAACGGAGCGAGCTGAGAAAAACCCACGCGTGCGAGGGGAGAGCGCTCTATCCCACGGGCCGGTAGGGTCCACGTTTGTTGCTGTGCCGCCTTCTCCCAGCAAGCCAGGGTACTGCTCCCTCCTCGACGTGCGCTAAAGCCACCAACCCTCGCTGCCTCGACAACCCTGAACCGCGGGGCCACGTGCGTGGCCGCGGCCTACCAGGGGCAAGGATGGCGCTGCGGAAGCACCGGTGGTGGTGTCCCGACTCGCGAATGCGTCCCGGTGGTCACCGAGTGGGTGACCACCGGGACCCGGCGGTCACCGGGGGTGGCGGTCACCGGGGATGGCAGTCACCGGGGGTGGCGGTCACCGGGGGTACGGTCACCGGGGTCATGGTCACCGGGGTCATGGTCACCGGGGTCACGGTCACCAGGGGTACGGTCACCGGGGGTACGGTTACTGGGGTCACGGTCACCGGGGTCACGGTAACCGGGGTATGGTTACTGGGGTCACGGTCACCGGGGTCACGGTCACCGGGTCACGGTCACCGGGGTCACGGTCACCAGGGGTACGGTCGCTCCGTGGATCCCAGCGCTTCCGTCGCCAGCGCGGACGCCGTTTGTGTCGCCTTGTTGAGCGGACAAAGGGTCAAAGGTGCCTGGAGTTTTGTTCTAAACGTTGTGGGGGGAGGGGGGGGTGGGGCCGTCTCTCTGAGCGTTCGGGGGTGTCCGAACACCCACGGCGCCCACAGTGTCTGTGCCCCCTGATGACCGCACGGGGAGAGAGAAACGGAGGCGTGGGAATGTTTATTTATAGAGACAGAGAAGGAGGGAAGGAGGGAATCGGTCATAGGCAGAAGAGGAGAGGAAGGTATTCGGATTGGACTTTAACTGGGACGGGGAGCAAACAGCACGGATGGCTGAGGGGTGGGGGGAGCAAGGGAAAAGTGAGCGACCTCCCACTGAGCAATCTGCCACTGCTCCCCCAACATATGGGAGGGAAGGTGGGTGGAGTTGCGGCATAATCACGAGGGAAGAGGCAGGAGAGGGCGTGGAGGACACTCGGTACATTAATAAACAGGATACCTACAGCATCAACCAATAGGACACTCAGTACATCCATCAACAGGATACCCACCGCATCAACCAATAGGACACTCAGAACCTCATCAATCAACAGGACACTCGGAACATCAACCAACAGGAGGACCCCTCTTATCAACCGACATGAGTTTCCAACTCGCAAGCCACAGAGTGAGACGAGGGGACAACCCCAAACGACATCGCCAGCGGGACTCTCCCACGATGGACGCCAATTACGCGGACCTCTCGTCGGAATTCCGCGAAACCCAGGCGACCATCGACGCTTCGCTCGCGTCAAACCCATCCGTCGCTCCTTCCCCAACCCGGGGGGGCCCCCGCCTCCGTGAGTTCACACGCAGCGTGGTGGAGGGGGGGGGGGGGGTGCTGCCGGCGGTGAAAGGGCCCCCCTCCCCCCCCGTGGGCGAAGGGGAGGGGGAGAACAAAAAGTTCAAATTAAAAAAGTGGCGAGCTCACAAAAAAAATTGAGGAGAGAAGTACCTTGCTGTTCCTCGCCGGTACTAGCGGCCGAGCCATCAGCTCGCTTCCTAGCGGCACTTCCTGCGGGCATGGAGCGGGGGGCGGAGACAAGACAGGAGGAGGAGGAGGGGGGGGGGAAAAATGCGTTCAAAATTCCCCCCAAAAAAAGATTCTCTTTCTCTTTTTGTTACAATTTTTTTTCCAGTCGCGAGGTGATGAAGGGAAATCCGCTCGGGACACTCGCAAAAAAAGTGCGTGCGGCGTGCCGGCCTCCTTCGGTGTTTGAGCAACGGGCAACACACAGAAGTGGATATCGCAGAGCCACCTCCGAGATTCCCGTCTCCTTTGAGCGAGACGCTCGGGTCCGCACGCACACGGTAGGAAGAGGGAGCGCGTGGCACTTTCCCGACCTTCCCACCGCATAACAGCAGCCAAGGTTTCGTCACTTGACGGTCGAACCGGTATTTTTTAAAATTCCTCAGCGGTGGACTTCAGCCAAAATTGTGCGGGCGAACAGATCTTAAACACGGGATCGTGTTTTTTTTTTTTTGAGCTCGAGCTGAGACCATCGACTTGACAGCGCCTGACGTCTTTAGTGTTTTAATGTTGATTAGTGGGTGTCAAAAAAAGAGAGAGAATCGGTAGAAACACGTTTGTTCTTCCCGCCCCCCCCCCCCCCCCCGAAAGAAAGACGAAAAAAATCCACCACCACCAAGAAACCGCTCCGGAATGTTAGAAAAATACCCAAACATGTCTTCCCGCAGGATCTGCAGAGGAAGAAAAAAAAGTTACGTTTGCAAAGATTAAAAAAAGAGAGGCAACCATCAAAAAAAGGAATTGGTCATTTAGACGGGTGCAGAGGTTCGCCGGGTTTACATCCGCCGCGGCCACCCTGGTCAATACTGCTCGGCGCGCTAACCGTCGGCACGCGCCGTCTGCTTCACGGCGGACGTCCAAGATCCCCGGCGATGTTGTTCGAAACGCGCGCGTGCCCTGGCGTCACGGTTCCCAACTTTTGCCGAACTTGTAAAAAAAAAAGGGTTCCCAGAAATGACTCGGCAACGTCCGCCCCCCCCTTTTGCCAAACCGCTGCCGACTGTGAAATACCGCAGCCCCCCCCCCCCCCCCCCTTCGCCTCGCCACGATAGGAGTAGCGTGAACAGGGCCCTCCTTGGGGTGGAGGTCCCAGGGCATCTCACCCACTATGTGGGCCCCCCCCACTCCCCGAGGCTTTCAAACTAAACCGGGAGTATGACATGTGACACTGTGACATCGAAGCGCGGGGCCTGGGGCGGCCGCCCCGATTCGCAGTGTACCCCAGGGAACGACTCCGGGCGAGAATACCTAATGCACTCGTTATTTGAAGAAAGTGCAGTGCGCAGCAGTAGCCCACCACCGCCGCTTGCCAGCGAGGATTCATTCCAGCCGTGTCTGGGTGAGGCGCCCTGAAAATATTTCCTTGACAGACGCACCACGTCCAGAATATCCCATCGCGATGACTGTCATTGCTGGTCACGTGCCTGCTCCAGTCTTCCGGCGACTCGGAAACGATTCGGTGAGAAATTAATCCCTGGGCTGAATGCATCGGCGTTCATCATCATGGCCTGGAGGGCAGGCACGGAGGGGTAATTGGGCATTGATCGTGGGCCCTGCACTGCCCGGATCCCGCAGTTACCCCCACCCCCAACACCCACTGCTTAATTCGAGCTTTTGTGGGAAATAATGTTGACACGTCACATCCATCTCGCTGCATTTATATGATCCTCATGATGCTGCGGTGGCGTGTGCGGTTGTGGTTGGTTTGTATAGGATTATAGGAATATATGGTAGGATTATTATTATGCATCTGCGTGTGCGCACTAGTGGTAGTGCCTTACGCCGATAATCCCTGCCCCCTGTATCACTCACGAAGCCTTTAATCATACGCTGTATTCAGCCCACAACGTTCGGCGTTTTGTAATGAAAACTAAAGAGGCGCATTTAATCACGTGCATTTATAAAGCAACTCTCTTAACGTTTCACGGACTTCGTTCAAATCTGTGACCTCTGCGACAACTCTTCCCTCCTCGATCACAGAGACTCGTGTGCAACAGCGCATCTAAGAATAACATGAGGGTGGCAGCACAGCGGTGACGCCAGCACCTCGCGGCTTGAGGGTCCTGGGTTCGATTCCCGACTCGGGCGTCGTTCTCTGTGGAGTCTGGACGTTCTCTCTCTCTCTCGCCCTGTTCTGCGTGGGTATACTCTGGGCTCTCCGGTGTTATAGCTAAACACACACACACACGATGCAACTGGTATTGGCCAAAACAAACGAATGCAGATAAATTCCCTGCAAATTACTCAACTGGGATCGTGCACAGCAGCAGAAGCATCGCCCCCGACTGACTAACTTGGCAGGAAGAGAGTCTTGACACCCAGTGAATTTTTGCCAGCTTAACAGGTGCAATAATGGATATTAATAATGCCAAATAATTACCGATGCGTGCTAATTATATACACCAACGTTACTTTTCAATCTAGTTCAGTTGCAAGTGGGTTCTAACAACATCGTAGAGATGAACATGTAAAAATCGATTCGTTGCCCTGAATCGTGGGAATTAATCGAATTGACAAAGAGTTTGGAGGAGATGTTGGGGTGCTGGGTGGTGTTGGATCGTTCAATTCTTACTGGGGGGGGAGGGGGGGGGGCAGACAGATGGGGGGGGGGGGGGGTCTCGTGGCAGCAGCTTCACTGTGATTGGCCTGCCTCCTGCACGGACAACGTGATGGCACAAGTTGGTGGGTGGCAGCGGTCTGTACGCACGAGTCGGGAGCGACGAGGGCTGTTAATTGCGCTGGAGCCCAGGACTGTCCCCAGCAGCTAAAAATACGACTCGCGGCCAGAACCGTGTTAACTACAGCGCGAGGACAAGCGGTTGGGAGCCCGCGGGGAATAAGCTTCCGCTATAATGCGCCCGTTAATGGCGGTGGCGTGCCCACGACCTACCAGTCGACTCACACCGGCGTGTGATAGGTACCAAAAATTTCGCCCAAAGCGCGAACATTTTTTGGACGATCCGATTTTTTTTTTTGCTTTTGTTTCAGACCCCCTAAAGTGCGACGTCACAGGAAGATGCGTCAAACGCCTATGACGTCACTCCACACCAAGAGGTGGGTGCCACGCGGCGTCGGGCGACGTCGCTGCCATTGGCACGACGGGCGTGGGTCACGGACGTTTACAAAAACAACCCGCCTCCGATGTTTGCCGTGGCTCGGAACCAAATCCAAGTGGCCCGGGGCTTCGCGGCGCGGTGCGCAAGCTGCTCCGCCGCAAATCGCCTCGTTGGGCGAGATCATTTTTTCCTGGCTATCGGAGCGACGCGCGGGGTCGACCTCGCAATATATTGTTTCGTTTTTTTTTGCGTACGTCTCTCCGATCACCCCGCGGGACCGGGGCGGGTCCCCTGATTCCCCCGTGTCTCCCGCCGCTTGCAGAGGCCGGGAGCGCTCGCGAGCGACGGGGGCACCTGGTGTGTAAGAGAACCAAGAAAAAGGCTTGGGGACCTAAGTGGCTCAAGGTGGCGAGGGGCGGATTCGTGACAATAATAATGATGATGATAACAGCGGTGAACCAAATATCAGCTCGAAAATCAAGTCGCGCTGCTAAAGGGGGTGTGCAGGCAGTGCAACTGCGCCTGGACCCACGGGCCGGAGGGCGCCACGGGCCGGAGGAGCCGAAGCGCCAGGCTACGAAGAGAGGAGAAATTGTCCAGGGAAAGGGCAAATTAATTCATTCCTTGAGCCAGGGCCCATGGTCGAGCGTACGACACCACCGAGACCCACAGGTTTACAAAGAGACATAGATTCACACAGAGACCCGTAGACTCAAAACACAGACTCACGTATATGAGCCAATGACTTACACAGAGACCCGTAAAAACTGTCCTTGCAAAGAGACCCCACACACTAGCACCGGAGCCATATACGAACATGAAGTATATTGATTAAGCACCCATGGAGTCGAGGACATGCATACTAACTTAGAATCCTCTCGGCAAGCAGACGGCCGAATAGACTGGCACCCCACGACAGGACCGAGTGATGTAGCTACCGAGTGTGCAGACGGTGCAACTGCACCGGCGCCCATTGGCTGGAAGGGCCTGGGTCCTGAGCTACCAACCGGGGGGACGGGGGGTGGGGCGTTGAAATGGAACAGGGCAGGGAGGTCCCCACATCATTCCTTGTGCCGGCGCCCGTGCCAACCACCCGCAGCTCCACACCGGGGAAAAGGGGCTGCGGGCTTTGGTTTGGCACAACCGCCGGCCAAAGACGATGACGCCTGGGATTGGCTTAACGCCAATTTCTGAGAAGGACGGGGTGAATGATGATGGTGGTGGGGGGAAGGGAGGATGGGCGGCAGTGGGGGGAGGGGGGGGTGAGGTTATGATTGATGGAACATCGCGGTATGATTTGCGAAGCACGGGATGGGAAAACGTGGGCATTGTCAAAGAAAATTGGAACAAAAAGGAGCGCAAAGAAGAATGGAGGGGTGCATGCTTGGAATTCCACCGAGAGATGGAACGACGGGGACACGTGGCTCGCAGAACACCGCAAGCTAAGAGACAGCGGCATTCACTGCAACCACCGAAGTTTGTACGCTGAGCTCGGGCAGGGGCTGGGTGGGGACGATTATCTGAACCCGTCCTGGGCTCCCCTAGGTCTACTCGGCCTCAAACGAGTGCCTGGTGCGGTGTTTAAACATTGGGGAGAGAAAGACGGCTTAAGCGCTGTGTTGGCCACCCACCCGCTGGCGTTCCATACCGCCATTTCGCACCTCCCACTGGCACAGTTGGCTACGTACGGTGTGAAATAAGTTCAACGCACATGCGTGCGTCGTCGCGAGAAGGGACGATGGCCGGCACGGTCGACACTAACGGAGGAGTAGCAGAACAACGGAACAACGGAGATGGAGCGAATGAAATTGGCCTGTTGTGCACGGGTCATTACACTGCAGGACCGTGCGAGATGGCAACAGCTTGCGGATCCCTTCATCCAGCCAGTGGATCGATCACGGGCCCAAGTGGATGTTATATTGTTGCGTATGGCAGCAAGTTATACAGGAGCTAAGAAGTCAATGTTGAGGTCTGCTGCTGCTGCTGTTGGCCACGAGAGGGCCTCCGGAAAGAAAGAGAGTTCGTGTCGTTCTGCTGTTCCTCAGCCTTCGTTGAAGGAGCGCAGACTCGAGTGGTTTACTTTATGGTAGTTTGGGTTGCATGGCCACAATCACACGACTGTGGCTTGTGTCTTTAATCTCCTGTTCACGGAGGAGATGCGCGTATAGACCCATTGATGTTCGGATGTGATCGACGGTTCCACCACGGGTGCATTTGATCTTGACGATGACTCATTGTGTTCGTTGCTTGTTGTGTTCTTGTCGCACTCCGGAAAAGTGACAAAAACCCTGGACGCTCAACATCCGGGCACAAGGCAGGGTGGCGACGCATCGGCGACACCCGTGCCTCACAGCAAGACGGTACCTGGGTTCTGTTCCCAACTCGAGAGCTTCTCTGTTTGGAGTTTCGATTCTGTCCCCCTGTACTGCGTGGGGTTTCTCCGGATTCTCCGGTTTCCTCCAACGGCTCACCCCCCCCGTCCCCACACTCACACACAATGTAACTGGTTATTGGTTTAAAACATTGTTGAGACTCAGTGAGGGTCTCCTGGGTAAATAACCATAACAACAGCAACAATAATAATCCCAATGCTGCAAAATTACCTGCAAATCACTCAATTGAGATGACACACAGCATCAGCAGCATCGTGCCCCCTACTGCGAAAAGCTTTGGCATGAGCGTCCTGAAAACTAGCCTTGAGACCCAGTGAAGCTTTCCTGGGAAAACAAGCGTAGTAGTTGTAGTTATAATAACAGTAAGAGCCAGGGTTGTAGAACCTTTTCTTTACCAAGGCCCGAATGGGACTTTCCAATATCTTTGGTGAACTAGCAACCCACCTTGAGACACGCACCCTGCTATCATCCAGCCATCACGCGGACCACACCGCACGTGCCGACCCCGACGTGGTGAAGGGCCCCCACCCCGCGGTGACAGAAGCGACCGAGCGCGGCGGTAACTCCACAAACGCCGCCGCGCCACTGCCGTTTCGAATGTCGAAAATATTTCCCTCCAGTGCCCGATGAATATTGATAATTAATACTTGCATTCATATCGGTGCCCATAATGGAACGAAAAGGGTCTCCAGGCGCGGATTGCTGTTTTGCCTAGGGAACACCCTAATGGCAGCGTTAGCGTGGCTAAAATGTTTTAGCGGCGATGGATGGATATCGGTTGGGCGAGGGCCCGTTTGGAAGTGGTTGAATCTCGTGTAGGCACGGGCCGCGTGAAATTAAGTTGCGGTCTGTAAGCTTCCCCACCCCAGATGTCATTAAATATGCCTGACATCTCCATCTCCATCATCATCATCCAGCTATTGGTCTACATAAGAAATGTTTGTTTTCTTCATGGGTCAACATTCGCCGGCAGGATTTCAGATATTCCCCAAGGGGCGCTACTCCCCGCAGTCGTCCGCTGGCTCAGTCACCAACCTCGCCACGAACAGAGAGACCTTGCCCAGTACCTCCGTGCCATGGCATCGAAGAAGACAACTTTCACACCATCACACACCGTATTAACCAGGGCTTAATTTTAGCTGGCGCTGTCCCGAGCTGAGCTCCAGAAAATATTTCCCCTCTCCACAATTGCCCCGACTGTCGGTGAGGGTGGTGAAGTTGATGGGTTTGAGGAACAACAGGAAAAATATTCCATGAGAAATTAAACCCTACGACAGAGGCATGACAGTGACTGGGGGTAACAATAAGGGGGGTACGGGGCGGGCAGGGGCGGAGGGGGGGTACATAGTGGGCGTGTGGGAGCAATGCTTCCGACAGACAGGAGGAGAGGATGGTGACTGGGGGGGGGGGGAGGGCTCGATAGCGGCCGTGAGAAGATATGAGGACGACGACGACGACGACTGTTGCCGTTGTGAGTCCCCGCGTTTGCTGTCCGGCAGCAGCTCCCGACCTGTTCGCCTTGGAACTGCTCCAATAGCTACGATTGTATTCACAAGACGCCAGATTATTCTCATGCAGCATCTCATTATGGCGCTCCGACATCCATTATTTACGGGTGCCTTATATAAGTCTAAAATATGATTCCTGTAATGCGAATCAATGGGAAAAAGTTGGCTGCTTTTCATGACTTTTGATTAATATTTTTTAGAGGAGTTTTTAATTTTAAAAAATATGTTATGGGTGCACGGTGGTCCGCGAAAATGTGTTGAGAGGGTTTATTGCCCTGCAGGTCCAGACAGATTTGGGATCACTGCTCTGGAGGAAGTTCAAAGGTCAGGATAGTCTGGAAGAAAGCTGGGAGATTGTTTGGTCAAAGCTGGAACAGTAGATATAAGAATAGGTTGTACCCTTTCTGGAAATAAAACAGGTGTCAAGATGTTAAAACACCAAACAGAAACATTTTGTAAGAAATCATGTCTATATTAACCACATATACTTGTGGTGAACATGCAAATAAAAAAAACATGCTCTGGTAGTATATGATGCATTGTCTTTGAAAATGATTGGTCCACACCAGAGACAGCTTTCTTTAGAGCCTAGAGCCTAGTCTCAAAGAGTGTTAGACCAGAGGACAACGCCAAACGGCGAACAGCACAAAGACAATGCCACTATTAGGGCATTGAGAGCTCGGGGCGAGCAGCTACATCATGGGACCTCCTTTGCCAGTATCAAAATATAAAAATAGGTTTTACCCTTTCTGTTTGGTGTTTTAACATCTTAACACTTTTATTGCCAGAAAGGGTAACACCTATTCCGATAATTTGATACTGGCAAGGGAGGTCCCATGCTCTGGAGTCAAAAGTCCGGACACAGTCCGACTAAAAGTCCGGACACAGTCCGATTGAAAGCCAGGGCAAAGTCCAGTTGATAGTCAGAGCACAGTCCAATTTAAAGTCTGGACAGTCAGAATGAAAGTTAGAACACGGTCCAATTGATAGTCAGGACAGAATCCAGTCAAAAGCCAGGGCAAAGTCCAGTTGATAGTCAGGGCACAGTCCAATTCAAAGTCTGGACAGTCAGAATGAAAGTTAGAACACGGTCCAATTGAAAGTCAGGACAGAATCCAGTCAAAATCCAGGGCAACGTCCCCGTGAAAGTCAGGACACAGTCCGATTCAAAGTCTGGACACAGTCGAGTTTATAATTAGAACACGGTTCGGTTAAAAGTCTGGACACAGTCCGAATGAAAGTTAGAACACGGTCCAATTGAAAGTCAGGACAGAATCCAGTCAAAAGCCAGGGCAACGTCCCCGTGAAAGTCAGGACACAGTCCGATTCAAAGTCTGGACACAGTCCAGTTTATAATTAGAACACGGTTCGGTTAAAAGTCTGGACACAGTCCGAATGAAAGTTAGAACACTCTCCAATTGGAAGGCAGGACACAGCACAGTTAAAAGCTAGGGCAGAGTCCGATTGAAAGTTCGGACACAGTCCAAATTAATGTTAGAACATGGTCCGATTGAAAGTCCGGAACACGGTCCAATTGGAAGTCTGGAACAGTCCAATTGAAAGGCAGGCCAAAGTTGAGTCAAACGTCAGGACACAGTCCGATTGAAAGTCAGTACACAATCCAGTCAAAAGTCCGTACACTGTCATATTGAAAGTCCAGACACAGTCCAGTTGACAGCCAGGACACAGTTCAGTAAAAAGGCAGGACACAGTCTGGTTGAGAGTCAGGACACAGTTTGGTTGAGAGTCAGAACACAGTCTGGTTGAGAGTCAGGACAGTCTGGTTGAGAGTCAGGACACAGTCTGGTTGAGAGTCAGGACACAGTCTAGTTGAGAGTCAGGACACAGTCTGGTTGAGAGTCAGAACACAGTCTGGTTGAGAGTCAGGACACAGTCTGGTTGAGAGTCAGGACACAGTCTGGTTGAGAGTCAGGACACAGTTTGGTTGAGAGTCAGGACACAGTCTGGTTGAGAGTCAGAACACAGTCTGGTTGAGAGTCAGAACACAGTCTGGTTGAGAGTCAGAACACAGTCTGGTTGAGAGTCAGAACACTGTCCTGTCAGTCGGCCGGCGGGCCGCCCGCCGCCTGGCACTCACCGTCCTCAGTGGGCAAGTAGATGTTGAGGTAGAGGCAGTCCTCGCTCTGCTCCTGCACGTAGGCGGCCACCACCTCGATGTTGGCCGTGAACCACACGGGCAGCATGACCTCGAGCAGCACGCCCTGCACGTTCTGCGGGCACACGGGCGCGAACGCCGTGGCGTTGCGCACGTGCCCGTACGACGCCGGCGGTTCCGGCGGCAGGAATCGGCGCTCCCCCACCGGCGGGGCCGCGTAGGGCACGCCGAGGAACTGCTGCACGGGCCCCAGGATCTCGTTGTTGAGCGACACCTTGACGCCGCGCAGCTTGCCGTAGTTGGTGGTCACCACCGGGTGCAGCGTGTCGGCCAGCGCCGACGAAGCGGCGAGGCAGGCGAGGCAGGCTGCTGCGAGCGGGGCGGCGCCCATGCGCGCCATCGCGCGCTCGCGCAGGCGCCCGCCCGCCCCCACCCCCATGCGCGGGGCGGGGGTCGGTGCTGCTCGTGGCACCGGCGCCGATTCGGCGTGCCGCTGGTCGGCTCCCGCTTCCGGGTAACTCCAAGGGGGGTGGGGTGGGGGGGGGGGGGCCGGGAACCCCCGGTAGTTCCCGTGAGGTACTGGAGACGTGTCGACGATTTCAATCCTCGTCACATCTCGCCACGCGAAGTCTCACCCGCTGGTCGTTTCAGAGCCTGCCGCTCGCGCTCTCGTGTCTGCAACCTCGCTGGACGAGCGTTTCTCCTCTCCGTGTCGTCTCGAGCTCAGCGTCTCCCCCTCCACATCGCAGGCTCACGTCTCGTCTTCACATCGCGACATCTGGGTCAGCACCCGGCGGCCCCTGGTCGTTGCCGAACGGCTTACGGTGACCCCGGCGACTCGTGGTGACCTGGAGCCTGCGAGATCAAGGTAACTCCCGATGATCTCCGGTAGCTCCTAGCATGTCCTGGTGGCTCCCGGTGGAATCCGGTGGCAGATGACACCTCCTGACAACTCCCCGCAGCTCCTGGCTCCTGGCGGGGCAGACACGCGCACCGCACACACGCTCAACCCGAAACCTCGCGATCCCTGACCTCAACCCAAGGATGGCTTTGCCAAGGGGGTAAGCTATCCATCCGGGAGTTGTCCACACCAAGGGCAGGAAGCTAACCCCCCCCCCCCCCACCACGTCCCCCCTCCACACTGAGTCATCGGTGACCGCGGCTGAGAGCCATCAATTGTGCGAGCCTGAGAACGTGGTTTAATCAGCGCTCTGACCTCTGAACCACCGAGCCACCTGACCCCGCACAGCTCAACTTGACACACCGAGACACCCACGTGAAGAAGGGCCGCCCATCAACGCAACGACATCCCGAGGATTTCGCGTGAACCACATCGCAAGAGGGGCTCTCCGAGCTCCTCGAGATGTTCTATCCACTGTTGGATCAAGATCTCCCCCCCCCCTCCCCACCGCCAAAGCCGTCTCTCACGGTGCTGCGACGTAACGATCCGCCGAGCGCTGCGCACGGAGAATATCCTCTGGGTCGCGTTCCCCGTCCACCCCTTGGCTTGCACTCCACTTGATTGTTTTTATTAATTTGTTGCACGGATGATGGTGACGACGACGACGATGATGATGATGATGGCGAGATCCACGGTGCTGCACGAGCCTGCCAGCAGCAGCAATAACAACTAAATACAGACGTCAATATTGCGGAGGACAAAAGTACGGCAAGGGTCCGAAATGCATATCGCACAACTAACACTCTGGGTCTTTCGTCAAAGTCACGTAGGTAGACAAAGTATGAGATCACGGTGTTTCACAACTAACAATCGAGGTGTTTAACGCTCACAAACGTAAGACGTCTCTTACTCGGAGACCAGCACTTTACACAGTTTGTATGCTTTTTTCGTTTGTTATTAATCTCGATTTTTTTAATTGTGGCTACACACACATTAATGTTTGCATTTTATTTATAGAACATCACTATCTGACCCCTCTTCTGGCAATGTATTGTAGCCTTTACCACCTTTCCCCTATATATTTATATTACTACTCTAATAAGCCAAAAATGTCTGTGTCCCGTGCGTGACGTCACTCCAACGTCGACCAGCCCCCCTCATTAATAATCATGAACAGGTTACGTCCTCCACATGGACCCCCCCCCTCATTAATAATCATGAGCGGGTGACATCACACCACATGGAGAACCCCCCCCCCCCGCCAGTGAGCTCACCGAGGTTAAGAACCAGGCTACAGTCTACATTATAGACTGCCAGGACACTCACTCCAATTAAGAACCAGGCTACAGTCTACATTATAGACTGCCAGTACACTCACCGAGGTTAAGAACCAGGATACAGTTTACATTATAGACTGCCAGTACACTCACCGAGGTTAAAAACCAGGCTACAGTTTACATTATAGACTGCCAGGACACTCACTCCAATTAAGAACCAGGCTACAGTCTACATTATAGATTGCCAGTACACTCACCGAGGTTAAGAAACAGGCTACAGTCTACATTATAGACTGCCAGTACACTCACTCCAATTAAGAACCAGGCTACAGTCTACATTAGTGTTTTTTTGTTTATTTTTCACTTTTTTTCTACGAGACTTTACCGAAAGAACCAAAGAATACCGGTGACGTAACTCCACATCGAGCAGCCCCCCTCATTAATAATCATGAACAAGTGACGTCCTTCAAATGGTAACCCCCCGTCATTAATAATAATTAGCGGGTGACGTCACTCCACATGGGGGGGCGAGGCGCCTCCTCCCCCTCCTGAGCGTCAACTTAAAACACTCACTACAAAGGCAGAACCCTCACGTCACGTGATCTTCGTAACGCTGTTGAGACATCGAAGTAAAAAGGACGTCGTGATGAACAAGGGATTATATCCTTTACATGAAATAAGTCTGTGTCACCGCGGCCTTATAAATTGCACACAAATGGATGCAATGAATATATTACGTCGCGCTCTGCTTTTCGCTTGCAAGTTTCACATTTACTGCAATAACACCCGTCCTTGGACGTGCAAAAGGATAGTTTTATATATTTTTTTAAAAGATGTACGCAGCCGCGGCGTATCGGCTGCTCCGACTCACTCGAGTGTGAGTGTGCGAATAAACGATTTTTATATATATGTGTAACACACACGAGTCAAGAGTCGTGTAATATGGGAAGTTAGGTACAGGTGCAAGTAAGCGCTGTATTTTAGTCTGCGAGTGACACAAACTCACGCAAATCAAAAATGACAGTGACCCACATGCCAGGAGAAGTTCGGTCCGGGTGAAACTGACCAACCCATTGCTTTGGTGACGCTGCTGCTGCTGCTGCTGCTCTATTGCCAGTGGTGCACGCGAGCACACACACACACACCAAGTAAACACTCGCCACGTTATCAAACCCTGTGAAGAAGAAGAAGGGCCAATGCCCGAAACGTCATCCGCTCTATTGCCCTTCCTTTTTACGGCCACACACGGCGTAGCTGACGGACGTGCAGCGTCTCCCATTGTTGCATTGACAGTCGACGTGACGACGACGTCGACTCTTAATTTGCGTTCGTCCCTGAACCGACGGCGCGTCCGAGCGCTGCGCCTCCTCCGTCGCTGCCACCCCCGCGCGCTCCCTTGTCGCGCTTTGCATCTTTTCGCTCCATTTTCTTTGTCGGCCGCGTTCCGCGATTCCGATCCGCGCGTCACAGCGGGCGAGATCGAGGGCCGATTAGACGGCGCGCTCGAGGGGCCCGGCAGCGCGCCGACGTGAACGCCGGCGATTTGACGAAAAAAAGAAACGAAACGAAAAAATGAGCGGCCGTCCCTACCCGCGGCTCACGCACGCGGGTGAAAATGGTTCGCTGGGGAGAGCGCGGCCGTGGGTCCACACACGTCGGGGTTTCTCTGGGCGCACGTGACCCAGGCGTCCGTCGCGGAGACGGAGCTGAAGATTGGAGCGGGAGCGGTGGGCGCAAATGGGTCGTCGCGTGCGGGAACAAGGGGCCGGACGGATCGTCGTCGCATCGCCGCGGGATTGCGAGCAGGACGGCGACGGCTTTGGGAAGGAGGCCTCCATCCAACAGTGGATTGGCCATGGCTGCTGCTGCTGATGACGATTATGAAATGTAACGTTTAAGAGTTGTTTTGTTGCATATTAATGTTTAATGATTTAAAAATGCGTTTATCCTCTGCGTTGCCTTAGTTACGTTTTGGAATTTTTGGTTTTGCCGCATTTATTGAAACCCCTCGACCAGCATGGTGAAGTATGGTCGACCGATACGACATGGGGAGTCCTTCGTCCAGCGGTGGATTGGCAAAGCGTCGTAAACAAACATAATTAATTCCAGGTATTACATGGAACAATAAGATATCCGCTCTCAATTGGCTATGGGTCTCGATGCAAGTCTATGGGTCCCTGTAAATCTACGCTGTTTGGCTGCACGCAGCTCAGCGTTGACAAAGAGAGCGCAGCTCTGAATGGGCTCTCACCTGCACACCGACTGAGATCGTCTCTCTCCTTCTCCAATGTTTGGGTGGGAAGCGCAGTGACGTGGATGATTGTGTGTGTGTGGGGGGGTCGAGATAAAATCCGCAGACCCCCCCCCCCCACCCGCTGCTCCCTCCAGTAGCGATGCCCCCCCTCGCCCCCGCACCCTGCAACCCCGCACGGATGGATCGTAAATTTCCACTCGGAATAATAAAAAAATCCCGAGCTCGGAGAGAGCAGGGGGGGGGGGTTACCAGAGCAACCGAGAGCTCTCAAAATAACCCGGGCAGCAGCGGCAGCAGCCGCGGAGAGGAGGAGACGGAGACTTCTCACGTGCACCGCATTCATCACCATCCTCCTCCTCACCACCACCACCACCACGCGACTCCCCTCCCAATTAGGGAGAGAGAGAGAGGGAGAGGGGGGGAGTGGATGAGATGAAATGAGAGGGAGGAAGGGCGCGAGGGAGATGGAGCGTTGATGAGATGGAGGGAGTAGAGGGAGGGAGGGTTGGGGCTGGTTGGGGGAGGGAGGGAGGTAGGAGAGGGGTGGGGGTGGTAGGGGGAGGGAGGGAGGGGAGGGGTGGGGGTGGTAGGGGGAGGGAGGGGAGGGGTGGGGGTGGTAGGGGCAGGGAGATGGTGGGTTGATGAGGGGGGGGGATGGAGGCTAGCAAGAGATGGAGCTTGAATGAGATAGAGGGAGGGGTTGGGGAGAAGATGAGAGGGAGGAGAACGAGGAGGAATGAACGCGAGAGCCGAGTTCGAGCGTGGGAGAGGGAGGAGGGGGCAGATTGAGCGTGGATGAGATGCAGGAGAGGGGGGGGCAGAGGAGGGATCAGCAGGGCTCCCCCATCTCGCATCTGTTAGCTCACTGCGCCATCTCGATCCCCGTTAGAGGAGCCTCTGGGCGACTCTCACGAGGAATCAGCTGCGTGAGCCGAGGGGGGGGGGGTAGCTGAGTTCGCGCCCTGAATCCGGTGATCCGAGCTGGGGTCCACTCACCCCTCACCACTCACCCCATAGTCTAGACCCTCTCTCCGCTCACCACTGGATTCGTAATTTTATCACCGTTCGCCGATCATCTACAGCCACAGGGACCGCTCAGCATTCACCCCTCACTACTCACCCCTCACTACTGACCCCTCACTACTCACCCCTCACTACTCACCCCTCACTACTCACCCCTCACTACTCACCCCTCACTACTCACTTCCCACCCCTCACCCCTCACTCCCCACCCCTCACCCCTCACCCCTCACTCCCCACCCCTCACTACTCACCCCTCACTACTCACCCCTCACTCCTCACCCCTCACCCCTCACTATTCACCCCTCACCCCTCACTACTCACCCCTCACTCTTTACCCCTCACTACTCACCCCTCACTACTCACCCCTCACTACTCACCCCTCACTACTCACCCCTCACTACTCACCCCTCACTACTCAACCCTCAGTCCTCACCCCTCACTCCACACCCCTCACTCCTCACTACTCACTGCTCACCCCTCACTCCTCACCCCTCACTACTCACCCCTCACTACTCAC